CGAGAAGCGTCTTTTCTGCCGCAACAATCTCGACCCACTCGACCATCGACTCACACTTCATCCTCAACTGCAAACTTCCTTTTTTTAAGTTCAGCGGACTCTCGCAGCCGACAACCACATGCGCTCGCTCAATACACAATCTCTTCGTGTGCTGCGGACGGCCGTGTCAACGCAAACGACGTGTCCGTTCTAAAGGATGCATTGGGTATTTTGTCATTGAAAGGGAGTGTTTCACAAGATCATGCCTGTCGAACCACCGAACCATTTCTTGACCCTTTGCGCTGTGCCCGTCCTCTGCTCCGCGTTCCCTTGCGGTGCACCATTTCGATCCCGGAAAACGCCGCCTCTTCCGTACACGTCGTCATCCTGTTCCTCATCCAAACTGGACCTCCCGTCACTGGTCCAGTTGGGGAAACTCTCGTCGTTGGGGGACATATTATGCGTATCCAAACTTCTATGCGGTAACTCGTCGTCATCATCATCGGATTCGAATCCGCTAGAAAGGTTTCGACGGAAACTATCGGGAAGATGTTGTGCGTCTTGGTCTGTCTCGTCGAGGAAGACTTGTCCTTGATGCTCTTCCGTTCGCTTCATCCTCCGCAGAACTACGGGTAGCATCACCGCAGCCATGACACCTCCCAGCAGCAAGACGTTGCGCCAGGTGAACATGGTAAAACCTTCTTCGCCCGTAATCTGATCCAACTTTTCACCGATGGTCGTGTGGATGACACTGACCGCAAATATCCCACCAAAGGTCGAGAGCCAAAAGGTGCCGACTCCGATCCCTAGGTGCGGAGAGAGAATGTTGACAATGTTGTGCGGTGGCAGTGGCATCATCCTCAGCACCACCAGATACGACAGCAAATCTTCGCTGTGCTCGTCCACCTTGTCCTTCCACTCATCCACTTTCGCCTTCCAACTAGGTATCGCTACCAATATCGCACCCAAAAACTTGCTGATAAAGTAACAGATCGTAGCACCCGTAGCGACACTCGTACACACCAACGGCAGTGCAAGTGGTACACCGAACAGTGCACCTGCTAGGATGGACATGTACATCGAACCCGGAATGGAGAAAGCTTGGAGGAAAAGGTAGATGATAGTCCAGCAGAGGAGGACACGCCAAAAGTGGGTGGATTTGTAGTGTTGCAGGACGCTGTTGAGTTGACGAAGATCTTCAAAGCTGCGGGGTAGTTTGAAGAAGGGTTTGTCGTCGGGGGAGATGACGGGGAGCGCGAGCCAGAGGGTTCCACCGAGACCGACGAGACACACGACGAACAACGCTAGCAGCTGCAGGAGTGAGCGCAGGATGAGTCGTTTGCGTTGCTCGCGCGTGAGTGTGAGTGGAGAAGCAGAGTCCGGGGCGGAGGTGGTGCGCGGTATGGCTGACCACGGATCGTCCTCCTCGTCGGTGCTGGAGAAGGCTCGGAGTGTGTGACGCGATCGGATGGAGATGGTATCGTCATCGCGAGGGGTGGTGGAGGATGCAGAGGGCTCGGAGGTGTGCAGCGCGGAGATGGCTTGACGCTGCACATCTGGGTTGGTTATACGACTCATCGCGGAGACGACGGCGACGGGGATTTGCACCGGGAAACTGGGGATGCGGTTGCTGTCAACAAGACTGGGCCCGCTGCGTATTGAATCGAATGGCGCGGAAAGCCGGTCTGCAGAATGCTTGTTGAGCTCAGCGTCCAGCGCCGTGCCCGCTCGTCTGACAGCTGAAGCAGAAAGTGGGAGGCTGTGTTCGAGGTGTGAAGGTATGGTGGTGCAAGGGTATCTCGCCGTCGTCGATGCCCGATGATGGTGGCGGTGGCAGAGGAAGCATGTTCGTCGTCAATGTGCATCAAACTGACGCCGAAAGCGCGCATTACACCAGCTCGATTTTACGCTCAGCTGTTAGATCTCGCACACACCTCCACCAACCATCGCCAACTCAATCCTCCATCGTCAGACTGTCATCCGAAGCTTCAAATGTGAGCAGGTGCGAGCATAGATTGCAAGACGAAATATACAATGGTGAGATCCGGATCAAGTGGTCACAGCCTACGAACGGAACAGATCGAATGCTGTGTTTTGGGGGGGTGTGGGAGCGGAGACCATCAGGCACGACGACCGGGAGGACGGTAGACGCTCTTCTTGACCTCGGTAAATCCATCGTTGTCGGCAGCGGGAGCCTGAGCAGCAGCAGGAGGAGGAGGGGTAGCAGCGCCACCAGCAGCGTTCTTGGCTGCTTCACGGTCTCTCCAGCCTCCACCACCTGCTCCGCGCAGAGCACCAGGTCGGTACGCGCCCGATGAAGCGGGAGCGGCAGCAGCAGCAGGAGCAGCAGCAGGAGCAGCAGCAGGAGCAGGCGAAGCAGCGGGGGAAGCGGCCTGAGGGGCGGGGGCGGCGCTATCGCCACCAGCGGCCTTCCTGGCAGCCTCGCGTTCGCGCCATCCACCACCAGCACCAGCGCGAGCCGCGCCAAAGATGGAAGGACGTTGCGATTCGGCCTGCGCAGGAGCGGCAGCAGCGGGCGCGGGGCTTGCACCGGCACGACGCCATCCACCACCCGCAACGGGTGATTCCTGTCTGGCCGAGGCCTCGGGAGCACCACCCGCAGCAGCACGTGCGCGACGGTTCGCCTCAGCCTCCTCCTCACGCTGTCGTTGCTTGTCGGCCGTAGCCTGCAGCTTGGCCATACGCTCCTCGATCTCGGCGCGCTTCTTGGCCTCCAACTCGACACGCTCTGCCTCTTCCACGCGACGCTGCTCTGCCAGACGCTCCTCCTCTTCGGCACGAGCACGCTCCTCCTCCTCCTCTTCGGCACGACGACGCTCGGCCTCTTCGGCCTCCTCGCGCTCGCGTCTCCTCTCCTCGCGAACCTGCTGACGACGCTTCTCCTTCTCGAGCTCAATCTGCTCTGTGGCTTTGCGTCGTCGCTCTTCAAACTCGCCACGTCGCTTGTCTTCGATGATGGAACGAAGCTGCTGGTAGTCGGGGAGGATCTTGGTGAGGCGCTTCTTGACTTCGAGGTCGGCAGCGTGCTTCTCCTTGGAGGTCTGCAGCAGCGTGATGCGGGCAGCCTTGTGGTACTTGAGATCCTCCTCCTTCTGGCGCTCGTAGTCGGCCGACAGCAGCGGAGCCTCTTCGCGACGGTAGGCACGCTCCAGGTGGTCCATCCTGCGGTGGATGAGACGCAGACGCTCGGCGAGCTCCCTCTTCTCCTTTTCGATCTGCTCCACCTGCATCTGGACCAGCTTGTTGGTGTCCATGTTGGCGAGCTCCTCCTCGGAAAGCTTGAGACCGCCGCGCTCCTGCAACGACTTGGCCATCTTCTTGGCCTCTTCGATGCGCACCGCCTCGAGCTCCTTGGTGATGCGGTCCTGTTCGCGCTTCTTTTGCTCTTCGGCGATGCGCTTCTGCTCGGCCTCGGCGGCGGCACGCGCACGCTCGGCACGCGCGGCAGACTCCTCGCGCTCCTTGCGAGTGGCCATCTCCTCGAGCAACTCCTTGCGACGGGCGAGGAGCGCCTTGCGGGCGATGGCAGCCTTGTGCTCGTCCTCGGCAGCAGCGACGGCACGCGCAAAGACGTCGCGCTTGGCAGCTTCGGCGTTGGCGAGAATGCTGGGGTCGATGGTCTTGAGCGTTGTGTCGAGGCAGGTTGCGAGTCGGCTGAGCTGGGTGCGCACCAGCTCGGATGGGGTAGCCTGCAGTCGAACATTGTCGGCTTCCGAGGAGGTGGATGCGGAAGGGTGAGCGTCGGTGGAGAAGACGTCGTCCTGGAAGGTGATGGCCTGGGCGACGTGGTCGATGCGGATGTTGAGGTGACCCTTCTTGCAGGCGTTGAGGCAGAACTTTTCGATCTCGGCAGCGGTGTAGCTGTGGGGAGCCTTGAAAGCCGAGACGAGCTGCATGACCTTGGAGAGCTTGACGGCGTCGTACACCTGGCTGAGCTGCTGGAAGAGACGGGTCAAGACGACCGAGTGGAGGGGCTTGACGTACTTGGCCATCTCGGGGTCCTGCGAGATGGAGGCGAGGATGGGCTCGATCTTGGCGCAGATGGAAAGCGGGTGGAACTCGACCTCGAGGATGTTGTAGAGCTCGCGCAGCTCGGGGCGGGCCTTCTTGAGAATGTCACGGTTGAGAGCCTCCTTGAGCAGACCGGCACGGGTAGGGGTGCGGCTGAGACCGAGGAGCGAGGTGAGACGACCGGTGCGGCTGCGTCCCTCCTGGTCGCCCTGCAAAAAGTCGGACTTGGACTTGTTGAGGTTGCCAGTGCCGGGAGCGTTGGACGAGATGACGGGCACAGCGAGGGCGCTGATAAGGACGTACGAGGCCATGCGGGTGTTCTCCTCGTCGGACTTGGCGATGGAACGGGCGAGAGCGTAGTAGCGGTTCCAGGCAGCGGCGTGGAAGAGGTTGTTGTCCGAAACCATAAAGATGCGAGCGAGCTTCTCGTAGTAGTTGGCCATCATGGCGGGACGAGGAGCCTTCTTTGCCATGGTGAGGAGGTTGTGGATGTCCTCGACGGAGCGGAAGGCCTCCTGCCAGAGCTCGAGTTCGACGGCTGCGTTGAGCTGAGCGAAGCGGGTGTCGAGGTGACGCTGGAGGGTGTCCTGGTCGGTGAGGTTGATGGCGTGGGCGTGGTGCGAGTAGCGGGCGACGTTCTGGAGGTGCTGGCGAAGCACCTCGCAGAGACGACGGAACTCGGTCTTGCGCTCGTACTGGAGGCAGAACTTGAGCGCCTGGTTGGCGATCTGCTGGTAGGGCACCTCGAGACGGGCGTTGTTGCGGAGGATATCGAGGGCGGTTCGGTAAGCCTCCCAGAGGAACTTGAGCCAGGGGGTGACGAGGACGCGGTCGGTGCGGTCCTTGTTCTGGTCTGCGCTGACGGAGCCGAGGAGCATGCTCTCGGGCGTCTCTGATTCCTCGAGATCATCGACGTCAATCTCGCCGACGGCAGCGTCGGCCTTGGACTGAGCCTCGACGACCTTGGCATCGGCGAGCTTGATAAAGTGCTTGATGACGAGCTCGATGGACTGGGCGTTGGTGTTTTGGGAGACGTTCTTGTACTGCATGAGACCCTCCTTTGCCATCCTTCCCTTTTTGAGGTCGACGCAGAGATCGACGAAGCGGATCATGATCGGTTCAAGCGAGGGGAGAGGCGTCTGCTTGAATCGTCGCGAGGTGAAGATCTCGTTGAGGGCGGCCAAAGCGGCCTGGTGTTGGCCGACATTGATGAGCTCCTCGGAGCGCTTGAGCACGGTCTCGGGCTTTGCGAAGGGAGGCATTTTGGAGTTTGGGTTTGGGGTTTGGTGAAGAAGCCGTCTGCTAAAACGATTAGAGGAAGAGGGACACCCTGGAGTTCACTAGCCGGTTCTTTCTTTGCAAGAAGAACTTCGAACACTAGGAAGCCGATGGGGTGCAGCAAAGGGGGAAAACTTGGGTATCGACTTTGGGATGAGTCGAACACGAATTCCGCCTTTGTTGAGGAAGCTGCAAAAGGAAGTAGCAGAGAAGGCGGTGGGGAATGAGATGGTGGTAGTGTCTGAGCCAACGACGACACGCGACTCGTTCGCCTCACAGCACTGCAGCAGAGCAAACGAACGAGGAAGAAAGTGTGCGCGCGTCTCGCCAGTCTCTGCCAATTTTTTCCTCTTCTTCTTCTCCTCTGTCTCTCTGTTCTTCCAGCGAATACAAATTTGCGCCTTTTCGACTTGGGGCGATTTCAAGCAGTCCATTCTGAATTGTATCTGCGGCAGCACAGACGCAGTCACACACATTCCGAACTCGGCACAGACTTGACGGCGATCCCGTATACTGAGAGGAGACACCATCGGCAACAGTCCGAAGGTCCAAGTGACTGCGCCATGACAAGTTGATTGACTGCAAACGCAATCGGGTCGACTGCGAAAAGGGAGGTGTTCGCAAAAGTGCCACGCCAAGTCTGAGGCTGTGAGCTACGTCCGCAGTCGAAAGTGAGTGCAGCGCGTTCGGCAGTTCCCTTTCTTCTCAATTTGGACCACAGCACAGCGAGAGTGCGGGTGGATTATTCATGCTTACTTGAGCCATATTTCGGAATATCCATCCCCCACGCTCAGCTGCAATCACTTCCTCACCACTTCGGATACACCGACGAACACTGCTTCCCCATCACGACAATCACAGTTGCTGCGGTAAAAGCGACACGATGGCGGCCAACGCAGTTGCAGGACCATCCAAAGTCAACGGCAACGGCAGCGCTGCGGCGCCGGCACCGCTCACCAAGAACGCAAAACGTCGTCTCAAGAAGAAACAGCAGCAGCAGCAACCGCAACCGCAAACATCCATCGCTGCCACTCCCTCCGTCAAGCAGGAACCCGACGCAAACTACGACGATGACGTCGAAGCATCCACATCCATCATCCACCAAGCAGCCGACTTCCGCATCGATCCAGACTCGGAAGTGTACAAGGCTTTTTCCAGTGTACTATCACGCTACCAACCCGAGACGCTCTCGCAACAGCAGCAACCGAGCAAAGGCGAGATCATCTACTCTGACGATGAAGTGGAATCTGCGCACTCCTCCTCCGATGCCGAGGGTGATGGTGGAGCGACCTCGCATTCGCTGTCGAAGCGAAAGCAGAAGAAACTAGCGCGCCTCACGGTGGCCGAACTGAAACAGCTCGTCCCCAAACCGGAAGTGGTCGAATGGACCGACGTCACCTCCTCCGACCCGCGCTTGCTCGTCCACCTAAAATCCACCCGAAACACCGTCCCCATCCCACCCCACTGGTCTCACAAACGCGACTACCTCCAGCACAAACGTGGCATCGAAAAACCCCCCTACACCCTACCCCCTTACATCTCCGACACCGGTATCGCCACCATGAAAGACGCCCTTAAAGAAAAAGAAGGAGACTACTCGTTGAAGCAAAAGACCCGCGAAAGGGTTCAACCCAAGATGGGCAAGATGGAGATCGACTACCAGAAACTCTGGGATGCCTTCTTCAAGTTCCAGACCAAACCCGAGCTGAGCAGCTACGGCGATACGTACTACGAAGGCAAGGAGTACGAGAACAAGTACAAGGAGAAGAGACCGGGGATGTTGAGTGCCGAGTTGATAGAGGCGTTGAGCATTCCGCCGGATGCACCGCCGCCGTGGCTGATCGCTATGCAGAGGTTCGGTCCTCCACCGAGCTACCCGCATCTGCAGATTCCCGGGTTGAACGCTCCCATTCCGCAGGGGGCCAGTTGGGGCTTCCACCCGGGTGGATGGGGTAGACCGCCGGTGGACGAGTACGGAAACCCGCTTTATGCGAATGTGTTGGCGAATCTCGACGGTGCAGTGGATGACGAGTTGGTGGACAAGGTGGAGAAGGAGCACTGGGGGTTGTTGGAGGTGGAAGAATCCGATCCCGAAGAGGAAGAAGAAGAGGAGGAACCCGAAGAAGAAACACAACAACCAGTGGATCTGTCTGGAGTTCAATCCGTAACATCCACATCGGCAGGGTTGGAAACGCCTTCCTTCACTCAACTGCGCAAGGACGAACGCATAGATTCGCACCCGAGATCGCTCTACCAAGTGCTACCAGAACGAACACCGGCGTCTTCTGGTGGACAGAATCAATTCCTCGCTTCTGAACGGATTTACGATCTCTCTTCCGCATCGTCAGCAGTGGCAGGTCCGGCGTTGGGTGCAGAGGATTCCAGAGCGAACAAACGTGCAGCACCGGATCAAGTGCAGCTGTCGATGGATCCGGATAATCTCGATCAGGAGCAGCAGCTGGCTGAGAGGTACGATGCCGAACGCAAAGCGCAAGGGTCAGCGCGGTTCGGAGGGTACGCGGAGCAGGATCGAGAAGGAGTGTCGGAGATGCGTCAACAGCTGCAAGATGAGAGGCGGAGAGAAGACGAGAGACGGGTGAAGCAGCGAAGGGGGTAAGAGGCAGGGTATGACGCTCAACGTTGGGCACAGGGTGGCAGTTCGAATCGCGGGGGAAGATCGGGAAGGCGGATACGGGAGGTTTGCACAACAGCAGCTACACGATAAAAAGGGACACGGGAAGGATGAGAGGCGGATGAAGCACAGTAAGGGCGTCAAGGCAGGTACGACCTTCAACCGGGCACAGGGTGGGCGGTTTGGAGCCTACACTGGGAAAGATCGGGAGTGGATTCGCCGGCCACAAGTGTATTGCAGGACGAGAGGCGGAGAGAAGACGAGAGACGGGTGAAGCAGCGAAGGGGTTAAGAGGCAGGTATGTCGTTCGACATTGGGCACAGGCAGTTCGAATCGCACTTTACGCCCGGGGAAGGATCGGGAAGCCGGATACGGCAGCTATAGGATAAAAAGGGACAAGGGAAGGATGAGAGGCGGATAAAGCACAGGAAGGGACGTAAGCAAGCAAGACTTCAGCTGGCAAACAAGGGGGGGGTCCACGAACAAGCGACGATATGTGTTGAGGAACATGCTCATGCCTCAAACCGATTGCGCATGCTAGCCCCAAATGCAACTCTCTTCCGCTCGTGACACACAAAAGCCACCTTTCCATACCCTTTTTGACCATCCAACGCTTCTTGCTTACTTTGCAACAAACGACTGCGCTGCTAAGCCAAAACCAATCTTTCCGCTCATCACTCCATGCAGCTTCTTCACACGTTGTATCCTCTCTGCTTCGTTGCATCGACTCACATGGATAGGAAATGCCATTGTTGCTAAAACGCACCTACCCTCACCACACACCTCCAACCGGGCCTTTTCCAATGCTTTGTCGTATCACACCTCATCCACTTTGCTCCTGTGCAAGCTGAACGCAGGTGTGACCCAGGCCCCGCAGCCGCACTGCATGCCTGCCCAATCCCAGCTGCCCAACTTGGCCCTACATTTCTCGGAGGGACACATCAGCCTACCAGTCACCTCTCCGCTGCTGAGAGCGGTCATCCAGGCCATAGGTTCGATAAAGTAGCTTGTGCACGATGGGTGGTTCAACATCGACCCCCCTGCTGAAGTTGCTGTAGCCGAACCAGGGTTGGAAGTGGGGAGGCGGCGAAGGGCAGCTAGGTGCGGGGGAAGTTGGGAGGCGAGTGATGCTGCGGAGCGGATTCGTGGTGGGGGGATGTTACTTGGTGGTGGTGCGGTTGTTGGCGTCGTGCTGGGTTGCTGTTGAGCGGACGTTTCTGTGGGTGTTATCGCTGGATCTGTTGAAGCATTGTTGGTGGTGGCGACTCTGTCCGACGAAAACCCAACGTCCCTCTTCCGATGTTCAAAGGCCATCTGACCTCTCCCCGGTTCATGAATGACAACATGATCCTCTGCAGCCAACTCCCTCCTACACCCTTTACACCTCAACTTGGGACCCTTAAACTGGGGTGGAGCTAACGCACCCCGATTGGCGACACCTTCGTGACCCCGGACGTGCTCCACGCCGCCAGGTAGACGGCCGGACGTGTTGGCTGTCACTTTGACTTCTTGCGCTGCGTCGGTGCGGTGGGACGACATGCTAGCCATCGAGTCAACCAGCTCGGCTACGGGAGTGGCGTTGTCGAGTGCAGATGGTGGGAGGTTGATGCTCGAGAGGTGGGAGATGCGTTGAGCGTTGGTGCTGGTTGTGGTGGATGAAGATGAAGAAGCTGAACGAGAAAGCGGTTTGGAAAAATGTTTTGTTTTCTCCGTTGTGGAGGAATCCGCTCCATCGTCGTCTGATCGAATACTCGTGAAACTCTTGACACCACTGGCGCAGAGCTTCGGACTAGGATAGGGACTGGGGTAGTAGCTCAGCAGCATATCGTCCATGCTATCCCCATTGAGGATGTCCGTCTTGCTCATGAGAAAGCGTCGTACGGACTGCCACTTCATGTCGACCTCGAAACCGACCTGGGCGTAGAGCTCGAGTTGCGCCATGAATCCGGCATTGGGTGAGGCTGAGGGTCGACGACGACGGATCATGGCGATGGCGGTGGTGGCATCGATGCGACGCGTGTGCATGAGGTAGGCGGCGGTGATGGCGACGGAGCGAGAGCATCCGGCTTGACAGTGGATCAGCACCGTCCCGGATCCGGTGGTGCTCCAAGTTCCCCACTTTCCATTGCGCTTCTGTCGTCCCTGCACCAGCTGTTCCACTTCGTCGTGGCTTTCTTCTTGCTGCTCTCCCGACGACTCGTCTTGGTCGTCGGCAGTCCACTCCTCCTCCAATTGATTCGAGATCAACTCGTTGCAACCCGCAAAGTGGACCAGGATGGGCGCCTTTTCGTCGTCGTCAATCCGAACGTGCTTCATCTCCGCGCGCGTGATGGTGCGACCATCGGCGAGCGGCGGTGGAACGGGGATCTGCTGCTTCATGCACGTGATCATGTGCGTGATGCCAGCTTGCGAGAGATAGTCGACGTCCATCGCAGCTCGAACCCCACCCACCCAGAGTCCCGGAAGCACTTCGTCCATCGTTGCGTCGCCCGCGCTGTGCTGCCGCTAACCCAGCAGCGCAAAAAGTCGGGTCTGGGAAACGCTCGTCGGGCTGTAGCGATCGAGAGTTAAGATCGGAGCATGGCGATTGAGGTGGAAAGGGGAACAATGGCGAGAACGCTGTCGATGATGATATCGCCGAGAAGCACGTTGCCAATCCGGAACCTCGCTTGGAAATCCATTCAGGTCAGGCACGAGCCACGATACGATACCCGCTTACTCCACATGACCACCGATCCGCAGGGATTGACGTAGCTCCGCCGGAAACGCTTTCCATCTCTCGTCCATCTTCAGAGCACCTAGTCGCTTCCCCTTCCCTTTCCCCTCCCCGTTCTTATGTATATAACCCGTCTTCACGCACCTAAGCTTGTACAAACCTTCCAAGAGTAGCAGCAACATGTCGTCGTCCTGCAACGCATACGGGTACAACTACCCATGCCACCTTCACCTCAGCTCTGGTGCACGCATCGGCATCGGCGTTGGCGTGGCGGCCGGTGTTTTGCTCATCGTCCTCATTTCGCTTCGCTTCTGCTGCTGCTGCAAAAAGCGTAGAAGACGCTTCCGCCAGCAAACCACTCTGCCCGTGACAGACCAACAGAACGAGATGTCGAACCACCAACAAGGACACGGTGGAGGTGGGTACGGCCAACCATACGGTCAACCGTGCGCGACACATCAAAAGTCATATGCGTACGGCGAAGGACAGCCATACGCTTCGCCTGCGGGTCAACCTTCGACAGGTGCCGATTCGTCCCACTACGCCCCTCCTCCTAACCCGCCTCCTCCGGCATACAAGCCTTGAGATGACAGGCTCGCTGAGAGCGCCCGCGTCTAACAATTGACCATCTTGCCCACAATCTGGTATGGGCGAGAAGAGTCACTTTGACGATGCCACGCCATCACCTTGTCAGACTGCGTGGCTTGAGCTGTTATTTCAGCCTGCGGCTGGCTTGTACATGGATCGGGCACGCAGCCTCTCGCCGTATCGAAGCACAACAAAGGGGATCGGAGTGGTGAGCAGCACCAGACCAGCCAGCATCGTGTACAGATACGCCATGCCGCCGAGCTTTTCGTGCAGCTGGTGCGTGCAGAGTGGAATAGTAGCACCAGACAGCGAGCGCCCGATCACGGTGGCAGCGATAGCAGAAGAAGCGTACAGCCGGTAGCAGTCGCCAAGGTAGCCGATCCAGCCTTGAAACACGAGCACCATGGCAGCACCGATGGGCACACAGCCCAGCGTAGCCACCTGATACGGTACGCTCGTGCGTGCTAGCCAGCCTGACCACAAGAGTCCAGCGGCCACGAGAGGGGCAACAAGCAAGGTAGGCAATAGCTTGACCTCCGGACCTGGCCTTTTGGATGGCATGCTTCCCTTTGCGCGATAGAGCTCGCGGTACGTCAGCCAAGCAGCTGCCAGAACACCTCCCAGCCCCATTGGCAGAAATGTGATGCTCGCTAGCGGGAGGTTCAGAACAAAATAGCTTTTGTCAGCTCGCTCGCTCAGCTCTGACGTGGAAGCACAAGGACAAAGACAAGGACTCACTTAGCACTGTATCGAGCTTGTAAATACCCGGAGGCCCAAAGATCAACGGCCACGAGGCGAAGAAGATGTACCTGCGCCACAGCGACGAATGCTTGTCAGTGTCGTCCGGATCGTTGTTGTTGTGCGCTAAGCAAACTCACATGAGAGCAAAGAAGAAGGACAAGTAGAAGTTGGCGCAAACGACGATGGGCTCTCGCAGTATCATGTTGATCTGACAGAGTTGAAGCAAACAATGAGTCAGCCATTGATCGTCAAGAGTATCGGGTGTAGATGCTCACAGGTCGTGCAAGATTGACTACGAGCAAGGTCACGATTCTCTGTCGTCGTGTCCTGACGGGCGTGGCGATGATCTGGCGTGGCTTTGCCCGAACGATGAGGATGGGCGCGTACGTCTCTGGCAAAAAAAGGAGCGCGACCTGCAACACCAAGCCCAAGGCGCCCATGAACCAAAACACCCAGGGCCAGCGAAGGTCGAGGCTGACCACGGAGCCAAAAAGAGGACCAAAGCAAGGACCCAAGAGGGGAGAAAGCGATACGACAACCATCGGAAACGCGCGGTGAGGCGGCGCAAACAGGTCGGTGGTTACAGCGGCAGCGTTTGAGAAGGCGGAAGATGAAAAGACGCCGGCGAGGAAGCGAGAGTTGAACAAGACGGCTTTGTTGGGGGCAAGCGCACATCCGATGTTGGTGAGCGAGTAGAGGAGATTCGAAATCAGAAAGACAGGTCGTCGGCCATACACCTCGGACATGGGGCTCCAGATGATGGGACCAGCAACACAGCCTCCTACAAAGGAAGAAGCAACAAAGGCGAGCTCCTCGTTGGAGAGTCCGAATTGATGAACAATGTGGATGCTAGCCCCGTTGGGTGCAGTGGACGCAAAAGAGCCGTTGAACATGGTGACGCCGACGAGACAGGTGAGAAGCCACTTGCGACGAGGTGACCAAGTGGTGGAATCGGCAGGGTCCGAGTCAGGCTTGGCAGGCGTCGCTATGTTGACAACGGTGCTAGGATTGTCGCCAGTCCCGGCTCTACGTTGGGCGGCATCAAAAACACCGATTTGCCTTTCAGCGACACTGAGGAAGCGTTCTCTCGTACCCGGGTCTCGCTGCAACTCTGTTACGCTGACAGAGACGATGGGTGGAGTCGATGCAGAGGCCCAGCTTATATCGGTAGAAGATGCATCCGTTGCGACCGGTTGGAGTCCTGGTGCGGAAACGGCTGTGACACCGAGAAGGTTCGGGTTAGCGACTTGCTCGGGACGAGAGGCCGGGCAGTATCTGTTGTCAAACCATCGATAGTAAGTCGTCGCCCTGGAGGAGAGCCTGTCATCGGTCAAGGACGTGCTGGGAGCACCGCCGTTATTGGCAAGAGACATGCTGGGGAGCGATCGACACCGCCGTGGATAGCGGGAAGAATGGGGGAGAAAAGCTTCATCGTGGTACTAAGGGTGTTTGACTATATATGTGCCACTCAGTAGGTCAGTCGCTGGGCTGTTTAGCCATGGAAGAGCCGAACGAAGCGGGAATTCTGAGCTTGAGCGTGTACTGAACACTGTATGTGATCTCGTAGGATCAACCGACAGCGTTTACGCCTACTTTCTGTCGCCGCCTGCGCCGTGGTGAGCAAGCGCGGAAAGTGCGCCGATGGGACATGTGAGAGCATGAGAAGAGTGACGAGCAAGGTATAGCTCAAGGTTCCGATTGCGCCGAAGCTTCGTTGATCTTGTAAAGATGTTCGGACCTACCATGGCGGAAGTGTGACATTCAAACAAGATCTTTGCAGTGATGCTCTTGGACCCTGCATGTGCTAAAATCGACCGATTGAGGGACCAAACCACCCCGATCTTGGCAATACAGATCCGGAGGGCCTTCCGAAGCGCGCCGCCCTTGGGACTGGCATCGATCACGAATTTCGCAAATCCAAGGCAGAATTGCAGTCACGATTTCTCGTCACGACGCCGGAAAGCGATGTGCGATTGATTTTCTGGTGCGAGAAGAATATTGCCGATTCCAGTGAGCCAAGAGCAGTAGCAGCAGCCAACACCATCATCGCAACTCTGACAGTTTGGAATCAAACCGTCTCCTCCACCACCACCACATCATCCCTCACCTTTCCGCACACACAGTTCGCAAAGATGGCTTTCTTCGGCTTCCGCGCATACCCGACTCCGCTCGTCAAGCCCATGTGGCCCTTCTTCATCGCCGCCGGTGTCGTATTCTACGGTGTCAACAAGCTGCAGGACATGGCCGTCTCCACCGAGGAGGCTTCCAAGGACCCGCGTAACCCTTACGGTTAGTATCCAGCAGCATTTACGGACGGAACGGGGCTGGAAACGCATCACACGGCGCAGACACCGTCGCTTCGAGTTGCTGTATACGAGCGCAGGCACTCTGATCGAATCGCTGGCATGTGCAGCCACAATGTGTCCTTTTTGCCAATCTACTACGACGAAGATGATTACTGACTAGCTTGCATCGCTTCCCTTTGCTTTGTGCTTTCACCTCTGCTCCGATACTTGACACACTACAGGCCAGAAGGTGCTCAAGGCAGCCCACCACTAAATTCTGTAGCAAGAATATGACCTCTTGAATCGGAACAGAAACACTCTGCGCACCAAAGTCATCACAAAGGTCGGTCGAAGGACAGCTGCCAACAGGGCCGCAACATCCTGTCGCCTATGAATGATACACGACAGACGCAGTAGCATCGGTTTCTTTCCAGTTCATCAACTCATTCCTCCTGCGCAATACAACAAATTGATTCCGAAACACATCGAGATATCTTCCTTGCAGTCGACTTGTTGCCCATGATTGACAACAGGAGTGAAGGGACAGGGAGTGCTGCAGGAAATATTGCGTTCGCATCCAAGACGGCATTCAGCGAGAGTCAGCACAGCCAACGACTGGCCTATTGGGTCGCCTACCGTCTCCACTTTGACAGCTGCGCTCCATGTGTAGAGCGAGAGAGATTCGACCCTAGCAACTGTCTACCTCGCTGAAGACCATGCACGCTGTTGAGATGGACGCTTCACCACAGGTAGTACACGTGAGAGTCTTGCTGAGCTTGAGAGTATGCCGTTAACACCTTTGGTCACCAGCTCGGCACAAAGATGCAGCGACGGGTTGTCCCGATTGCTGGCTCAGAGCTCCAAGCGAGTCAACGATGAGATCTCCTTTTTGGTTACATATATGTGAGACCACTCTAGTTCACATCTGTATTCGCTCGCCCAAAAGTTTCTTGAAACGACCGAACCATCAAACCTCTTTGGAGAGATGACCGACCGCTGGCAGCTTGTTCATCTCGAGACGGCTTCATCACATCGAGCAACGGCAAACAAGAGCCCATTGTCATGAGAGTGCCGGAATCGCCGCGTGCCACGAGCTCATCTGCGCTTCATCTGACGGTGTCCGGCTCGTGTGCTGGACGACCACGTGAGCGAAAAACCGCTTTGGCATGCTGTCCCAGCTTGTCTGAACGGAGATCACGTCGGTGGTGGGGACGTGCGTGCCCATTCAGCAGAGTGGTGGAAGTTGTCGACCGTTGTGCAGCGCAGCCAAAGTGTTGCAGCAGCTCTCGAGACTGGATTGCGACGGCATCCCCGCTTCCCCAGGGTGAGAGAGAGCCACAAATCGCGCACAGTTGCGTCGCTCCGGCACCCAATGTCCGGTTCTCAGCCAAGAAAATCCTCCGCTCGCCCTCTTTTCAACAGCAAGATTTCGAGGACGTGAGAACGCGACCCCGAAAAAAAAACCGTTGGCTCCTAGCTGGCTGGGCTTGATCGCATTCCCGTGTATGCAATTTCGAGTGGGCTTGAGCCTCGTGAACGCACTTTCATTTCGGCTCTTCCGGTGTTTCGGCGTCCCGACAGTCAGAGGGTGTGAGCGATTCAAATTGCTCTTGTGCTCTTGGATGCGATGATCGATGAGCCTAGCTGGGCGATGTGACAAGAAACAAACGGGAAGGAGACACGCAGCTCGCGGATGCGGGGGCCACCAGGTGCGGAGGCTCCGACCGGGGCGGCTCAGAGCACAACAAGACCGCTGAGCCGTGAGTCGTTTTGTATTTGGTCGGCCATTCCTCCAGCTGTCTTGGCGTCAGTCTCTCTCTCTCTCTCTCTCTCTCGCCTCTTGCCGCCCCTTTTCTTCTCGCTTTTTCTCGCGGTTGCAGGCGCGCAGGAAAAGCAACTTCGATCCGGTAACCACCCTGACTGGACTGTCGGGTCTGAGCACGGCTCGCTTGCTCCGCTTATTCTCACGAGCCGGACTTCCCGGTCGCTTGCTTGCTGGAAGGGACGCTTGCTCCTCGCTGTTGTTGCGTGTGTGTGGTCACCTTTGGCGCTTATGCTCTCTGCGCGCTGCTTCGTGCCTCGTTCGTCCATCCGTCCCTCTCGCCTGTCACACCTGCCACACTTCTTGCTCTCTCTCTATTCCTCTCATCACGATCTCGGCTCCTCCGCATCGTCTACTATCATCGCTATATCATCCACCTCCGATCACTCTCACTCTCACCCTCACCCTCACCCTCATTTGCGGTAGTCACCGTGTCCGTCTCGTCCATCCCTGTGCTGAACACCACCACCATCCTACCCATACCTCCCTCGGAATAGTCTCTCAAAATGACGACCGACTTGCCTCCCGAGATCGCGTTCCCCTTGGACAAGCAGATGCTCCCCGTCCCTGGAAGCAAGCAGCCCGGATTCTCTGCCATCTACAAGAGCGCTGCTCAGCCCGACTTCAGCACCAACTGCACCGTCTACGAGACCCTGCTGCGTGCAAAGGAGGAGAACCTCAAGGACGACCTCGCCGGCTGGAGACCCTGGAACCCCATTACAAAGGACTTTGAGAAGCACTTTGAGTGGTACTCCTACGAGGAGGTCGAAGAGGAGCGCACTGCCATCGGCTCCGGTCTTGGTGCCCTCGCCAAGCAGGGCGTCCTGGGCAGCGATGTCGGCCCCTCGGAGTGGACCGTGGGTATCTGGACGCTCAACCGTCCCGAGTTCATGATCGTCGACCTTGCCAACTTGGCCTACAACCGTCGCACCGTCTCGCTCTACGAGACCTACGACGCCGCCTCGGCCCAGTACATCATCGACCACGCCGAGACCCGCATCCTGTTCACCACGCCCAACCACGTCGGCGTCACGCTTGCTGCTGCCCAGGCCGGCAAGCTCCCCCTCCTCAAGGCCATCGTCATCCTCGATGCCTTCCGTCCTAGCAAGGAGACCGTCAAGGCCGGTGTCGTCGATCCCCAGCGCGATCTGCTCGCCAAGGAGTGGGCCAAGAGCTGTGGCATCCAGATCTTCAACTGGTTCGAGATTCTCGATCTCGGTCGCAAGAACCTCGCTGCTCACACTCCTCCCAAGCCCGAATCCATCCACAGCTTCTGCTACACTTCCGGTACCACGGGCAACCCCAAGGCCGCCATCATCACCGCTGGCATGGGCGGCTACGTCACCACCACCATGGCCTTCCACAAGCGAGGCAAGTTCACCGTCATCTCGTACCTGCCTACCGCCCACATCTACGCCCGTCTTTGCGAGATCGTCGTCGTCCGCACCGGTGGTCGCGTCGGCTACTTTTGCGGTGACACCACTCGACTCATGGAGGACATGGCCATCCTCAAACCCGAAATGTTCCCTTCGGTGCCGCGTGTGCTCAACCGCGTCGCCGCGCTGGTCCAGGCTCAGGCTGCCGGTCCGGGTTTGAAGGGCGCTCTGCTCCGCAAGGCGCTTGCCGCCAAGATTGCCAACCACGACCGTGACGGTACGCTGACCCACGCGCTGTACGACCGATTGATCTTCAGCAAAGTCAAGGCTGTGCTCGGTGGCAATGTCCAGTACATCACCTCGGGCTCGGCTCCCATCCGTGGCGATGTGCTCAAGCTGCTCCGTGTTGTGCTTTCGTGCGATGTGCGCGAGGGATACGGTCAGACCGAGAACTACGGTTTCTGTACTGTCATGTCGCCAAACGACACGTCTCTCGGCAGCGTCGGTGCCATCTACCCCGGAATGGAACTCAAGCTGCGCGACGTGCCCGATATGGGCTACACCTCCGAGGACAAGCCCTTCCCGCGCGGTGAGGTTCTGGTCAAATCGCAGTGCACGTTCCCCGGATACTACAAGGACGACGCCAAGACCAAGGAGGCGCTGACCGAGGATGGGTTCCTGCGCACGGGCGACATTGCGGCGATCGACGAGTTCAACCGTGTCAAGATCGTCGATCGTGTCAAGTCGCTCCTCAAGCTGTCGCAGGGAGAGTACGTGGCGATTGATAGTTTGTCCGAGTTCTACGGTCAGAATCCGTTGGCTGCGCAGTTGCTGGTGCATGGAGATTCCTTCCGAGACTATTTGATCGGGATTAGTGTTCCGGAGCCTACGACGTTTGCCCCCCTCGCTAGCAAGATTTTGGGTCGACAGATTAGTGCGGAGGATACAACGGCGTTGCAGGAGGCCTGTAAGGATGATAAAGTGGTAGCTGCGTACTTGGATCAGTATACCAAGATCGCTAGGAGCAACAAGTTGAAGGGCTACGAGTACATTAAAGGTCTGTATCTGACCATGGATCCGTTCAGCGTGGAGAATGGCCTGTTGACTCCGACGTTCAAGGTCAAGAGGCACGAGGCGGTCAAGCAGTTCAAGGACCAGATTGAAGCTGTGTATGCAAAGGGTCCCGCCGAGGTTAGTAGTGGTCGACCTAAGTTGTAAATGAGGAGGGAGAATGTGATTGTGACTGGAAATGTTTAATTCTGTGAGAGGTGTGTGTGTGTGTGTGTGTGAGGGATGGGATGTGCAAAAATGACTGCCGCAGGGTTTCACCGAGGTAAAGGAGTTGCTAAGGGGTTAGGAGAATGGTGAAGTGAGACGAAGGTATTTGACGGAAGGATGCAGGAGAGAGAGAGCTGTATAAGATTGTGAGAGGGGGGCAGAGTTTGAGACTGACAAAGGACGGCACACTGTGGAGTAAGTGAACTTAGGAGAATGGTGAAGTGAGACGAAGGTATTTGACGGCAGATGCAGGAGAGAGAGCTGTATGCGGTTGTGAGGGCGGGGAGAGGTTCAGCCCGATAAAGGACGGCGCACTGCGGATAAAGGGAATCTTGACGAACACAAAGTTGGAGCGAGGGTTGAAGTGGGTAGAGAGCGATGGGATGATCGTGCTGTGTGAGAGGTGTCTCAGCTGGGGCTGACCTGACGAAGCAAAGCAGTACCTCACATACCTCATCCCTCGTCCCCACCACCACGCTCATACCCCCCGACACGCAACAACCACAAATTTCACCCTCACACACTTCCCGAAACACGCTTTTGACAAAATCGTTGCACGATTTAAAACGTCTACACCCCCAGCACACTGTGCTGCTACGACTGGTGGTGCGAGTACTGCTGACCGTACGCACCGTTGGCATACACCGGATTGGGAAGATGAGTCATGCCGTGACTCTGAGGGTGCTGAGGCTGGTGGTGGGGTCGAAACTGTCCCGCCTGCTGGTGTTGCGGGTAGCCGTACGAGTAACCTCCGTATCCTCCCCCTTGTTGCTGCTGCTGCTGCTGCTGCTGTTGTGGCTGACCCCGATACTGCTGGTACGCAGGATGCAGTGTCGCTGGAGCAGCATGGTTGTACGGCCCCCTGTAGTCCGGGAACCCGCCGGAAGGGCTTTCCGAATGCGGCAGAGGTTTCCCATACGTCGGCGGGTGAGGCAGCGGCGGTGTTCGATCGTACCCTCCCACAGGCGCTGAAATGTATCCGTACTGCGACGTCGACGACGATGCTGGGTGCATGACGCTCGGCGATGATGTCGAAGATGCGGACGGGTGAGGGTGCCGGACAGCGTTGCTGCTGTCGGTGGTCGGGCGTTGTGGAGGAGCGTACGATGGGTGAGGCGCCTGCTGGTACGGTTGGTAGGGCGGACCTGCGTTGTACGGATGGCCATTGCTTGAGCGCTGTTGCTGCTGTTGCTGACCGGGGTGCGCATAGCTCGGAGACCCACCACCCGGACCATACTCGCTGCGACCGAAGCCCGATGCGTACTGCTGTTGGTATCCACCTTCGAACGACGGGCCGCGATGCATAGGCGCATCGTTGAGACCACCGTATTGCTGCTGCGGATACTGCTGGTGCTGGTGATGGGCGTAAGCATGATGCTCGGCATACTGCGGCGGGAGCGGCGGCTGAGGTGCACTCGGACGCTGAGCAGCATACGTGGCTCGTGGACCACGCTTTGACGGAGCATGCGCTGCCTGCACTTGCTGTGGCTGTGGCGGTTGTTGCTGTTGAGGGCCCGAGTACGTTGGATGACCTGGCCACTGCATTGGCGGCGGCGGCAGAGCGGTAGCCTCAATTTCGGTCGCATCGACTTTCTTCTTGGGCTGACGTGTTCGCTTGGGCTTGGCGGGACCATCTGTACTGCCGACCTTTTTGGCCGCTGGACTTGACTGGATCGCGGTCATGTCAGCGCCCGACGCAGCCGTCGCCGTCGCTGTTACCGCGGCACCTCGGCTTCTTCGAGGCTTCTTGCTCGGCAGAGCCGCCGCTTCTGCATCAGACGCGGCGACGCTAGCCTCCATGGCCTCCTCTTTCGCAGCCTGGGCATTGGCGCTAGCTTTCTCGCTGGCCTTTCTTCGTCGCTTGGTGGGCTCCGAAACAACTTCCTCGTTGACTTCGCCTGCAGCAGCACCGACTGCTGCAGGGATGGCAACCGCTTGCGGCTCCTGCTTGACCGGGTCGTCCAGGATGATCTGCTGAAACTTGACCGTGCTGGGACGACCTTCGTCCTCGATGACAATCTCGTCTTCCTCCTCGCGAATCTCGACCATCAAAGCCTGGAACATGCCTCCAGACGTCTTGATCTTGACCATAGATGGGATGGGCAACGCGTAGATGCGTTCGCGCAGCTCTTCCAACTTGCGCGCCTCCTCCGCCTCGCGGAAGAGAGGATTGTGGGTCTTGCAAAGAACAACGAGGCGCTCGCCATCTTCGAGGCCATCGGTCTGCTGAGCGGCGCCGCTGCTTGCGGCGGGCGACTTCTTGCCTTCGAGGCGGTCTGCCGTCTCCAGAGGACACACATCGATGAACCAGCCGTGCTCTTCGACCAAGGCGCAGCTGACGTGCGCTGAGCGTGGACACTTGCCGCGCGTGCATTGAATCTTGGGATAGAGCTTCTGCAAGATTGGGTTGGGGCAGATCTGGCACTTGAGCGAGAAGCGAGCCTTGTCGATGCCTTCGATGCCCTCAACTACCTCGGCCTTGCCGTGCTTACCGACCCACGTCTCTGGCACGAAGCTGGCGCAGAGCCGATGGGCGTGACGTCCAGACATGGACTTGAGCTTCGAATTGGTGGACTCAATCTCGGCGGGGGTTGCCACCAAGTCGGTTTCGACGTTGGCCGGGCAAAACACGCAAGGGCTCGAGGCAGCTTGCTTCGGGTCGATGTAGAAGCCATCACCTCCTTGGAATGGCAGCGGCACCGCCGGGTTGGCTGCGGCTGCGGCTTCGTCTGCCTCCTTCTTGAGTCTCCTGCGCTCCTTGGCCCGTTCGTTACGGACTCTGCGCTTTTCCAGCTCGTCTTCCTCGACAGCTTGAACCGCATCCTCCTTGGCGCGGCGCAACTCGCGTTTGCGTTCGAGCTCCTCCATCTCTTTGCTCTCTTCCAGCAAAGCATCGACGTCGATGCGTACGCTGTTCTGCGACATGTCGCAGTGGCAGTAGTTGGCCTTGCGACCAATGTCGAGCCAGGATTCGAGCGCAAAGTTGACACTCTCGGCACAGTTGTAGCCCATGTTGAAGCCAGAGTGGTAGCCGAAAGGGTATGTGATGACGAATTCGCCTGCGTTGTGGACCAGTTTGAGTGGCCGGATGCCGTGCGAAGCGAGAAAAGAGGGCGATGCGAGGTACGACTTGTGACGCATAAAGTGAGGGCAGCGTCTGGCGTCAGAGGGGAAGGCGCCCGCCATGGCCGACTCGAAGCGCTGTCGATCCGACTGTCGGATGGCATACCACTGCTTTGGTGCACCGAAGTGGATGTAGTTGATGGAGTAGAGGTCCATGTCTTCGACGTGCCAAGCGAACGTAGCTCTCCACATGCCCCAGTAGAGGTAAGGGGTGTTGACGCCCGGCAGCTTGCGACGGAGGCGGAGACGGGTGAGGACGCTGTCGAGCTTGCCAACGTTCCAGTGCTTAGTGCGCTCGTCAAAGAGAGTGCCGCTGAGATCGGCGCCGTACATGGGCGGCTTGCCAAAGTTGAGGTTGCGCCAGTACTCGCTCTCGATCTCTCGACATACTTCGGGAGTCCAGTCGGAAGGAGATGGCAGGGACGGTACAGCTGTCGCTGCTTCGCCCTGGTCTGCTGTGGCATCGGCGTCCACTTTGGATGTGCTTGCCTCTGTCGTTGTTGAAGAAGAAGATGCGCCCTTGAGACGTGCCAGCTGCTCTTGTGAGAGTGCCTCCTTGCGCCAGCAATTCTCGTAGTCGAATGCACGCCATTCGTCGTAGGTGGTAGCCTCTGCCTCCCAGTTCTTCTTCTTGACTGGCGAAGCATCGCGAGAAGCAGGCAGCGGCGACGTTCTGGCGGTAGCGGAGGCGGTTTGGGCGACTCGTCGCGAGCGACGCTCCGGAGACGAAGGAGAGGCGGGAGCCAATAGAGGTATGGCAGGTTGCTCGTCCGGTTGTGCGCCCTCGAGCTTGTCGTTGTCATTGTCGGCTCTTTTGCGTTTCCCGTTGATCTTTGTCTCGGCGACAGTAGGGACAGCAGATGGGCGAGCCTTGCCACTCCTTGTGCGAACCCCGTCTTCCTCGAGGATAGCTGAGGAAGCACCATCCTTGGTGCCGATGGTTTTGGGACCCCAGCCACCGTTGGAAGCACCTTCGACTTGTGCTTTCCACTTCATACGTTCCATCTCGGGACCCTTTTGATCTTCCGAGACGCACATCTGGGCCCACTGCTTTGCATTCCAAACCTTGGCCGAGCGGGTGGTGTTAAGCTGGCGCCAGACGCCCGAACCGGCGGGGGTAAAGTGCTGCATGATGGCATTGCGGATGCGGACCTTGGACAAGTCGGCGTGCTCATCGTGTTCAGTATCGGCGTCGGAAGCGGCCGCCGAGGTGGGACGGAGGTCGGGCAAAGAGTCGCGCCATTCGGAGGGAGGGACCACCTTGACGATACCGTACTGCATACCCCAGCTGTCGATGGCTTGGCAGAAAGCGTAAAAGTCCTGGAATTGCTGCATGGTAGGCTCGAATACGGGGATACCATCGTGTGACGAAGAGGCGTTGCCGTCTGCGGGATAAAAGTATGCAGGCTGGATTGACGAAAGAGGGTGCTCGTCCTGGTGCAGTTGCGACTGCGATTGTGGCTGCGGCTGGGGTTGCGATGTCGGCGTTGATGGCTCGGGCGACTTGGCAGCCGCTTGGTCGTGAGGAAGTTTTGATGTGGGCGCATCGATTGAAGTCGGAAGCGTGGAGTGTGCATGATCCGAGCCGCCAGCCGAAGTTGCAGGGGTGGAGTGACGACTTGATTCCGTTGGCGCATGAGCGGGCGACATGGTGTTGATAGGGGAGGCAGCGGAAGCGGGCAGTGCGTTTGTGCTTGAAGTGGGCGCGACTTTGACATGCTCGACATTCGATACTGTCTGTTGAACGTCGTCTGTGCCAGAGCTCGCCTTGACAGGAAGCGGTGCGACGTCCGTAGACGGAGTTGGGCTGGTGATCATGGTGGTGTCTGGAATCGACATGGTGCGAGGGGCCAAATGGCTGCAGCGCAAAACGGACCAGCCGTGCCTGGTTTTGAAGGCGTCACCTTATCCAATACTGTATGCAGCGTGGTCAGATCTTAGTGGGGTTGTGAGAGAAGCTGTCGAGGCTCTTGCAAAATGCGGATTGAAATTGCACTGCGCTTGTCTCCAAGGAACGAGAAGAGATGCCGGCTACTTTCTGACGGGAGGTTGGTGCCGAGACTTGGCGTGTGAGACTGAGATGATGGTAGTGGTGGCTGCGAGCGGTCGGAAGCAGCGGGGTGAGCGCCAGAAGGCAAGAGGATGATGAGCGTGATGAGCGTGATGAAAGGATGCAAGCGTCAATCAAAAGGTGTCGGAAGCCTCCGCACTCAACAGGGCGGGCGGGATGCCAAACGGACAGGCATCCGAAGCAGCGCTCTTTTTCGGACCAAAAAAAAAAGATTTAGAAAAGAGGTGCAGAAGCGCAGTAGCGTGCAGAACTGTTGCGCGCGCTCACAGGATCCTGGCGGTCCTTTCGAAAGGCCGGCATCGGTTGTTTCTGTGTTGCTTTGTCATTTCTCTTTCGATGGTTAGCTCACAGCAAGCAGAAACTTGACGGTGCTTGCGAGCAGAAGTACCACGTACGAAACCATGCTCGATCAGACCTTGCCCTTTGTGTCGGTGTAGCGAACAGCTCGAACAAAAGGGCGCGGCTCTCCAAAAAGGACAAGCAGAAAAAGTCGGAGACCTGCAGGAAGAAGCGAGCATGAGCGCGCGACCTTGGCTCAGACGGACTGCTTGGCTTGCATGGACAGGGACGGAGGAAGAAAAGAGTCCTAAATTTGTTTCTTGAATGCAGAGGCACCAGGTCAGTGTGACCTTCCACTTTCAGAACCCAATAACTTAATCCAAGGACTGCGCATCTTTGACCCAAGATGATGCGCAGGCAGAGAGAGAGAGAGAGGGAGAGAGAGAGACAGCTGAGACATGGACCACAGAGGCAGACCCTTGCGTAGCTCCGCTTCGATGCTCGTGTCGTTCCTTTTTCATATTCGAGAGAGAAAAGTCGCCGCGGCATGTTGTCCGATCAGCAAGCGACAAGGCGACCTTCAAGCTCCAGCTCATTCAGTGCCATCGTCGCTACCTCTTAGCGGCTATGTTCCGAGTCAACACGGGCGGAGCGACGGACGAGTCGCTGTGCAACGGCCTTTTTACGACCTTGATGAAGACGGCGTGATCCCAATTCTCGACGTCCATTCGGCAGGAAATGAATGAAGGTCATGTGAACAGCACATCGTCTTCAATCTTCTCTGACCGTCAGAAAGGGAAAGGGAGAGCTGATTCACGCTCCTAGAAAATCGGACGATCCGAGTTTTCAATCGGTGCCTCCCGATGGGCCCACGGTGTTGGTTGCTCTTCTTCACAAAGTCACAACACGCACAGACACACACACACACACCTCGGCTGTACCGAATATTCAGAGAGGATTGTACAACGGCGTCCCACGATTTGTGTTGTTCTCCGACTCTCACCTTCCTCACACACACACTCGCGTCTTGTTCCATTCGGGTCAACTCCTGCTTCCATCTCCTCTGTTGTCACAACGCCACCGATCGAGATGGATGATCTGCTCGATCTCAGCTGGCAGCCGACAACTGCGAAAGCTCAGTCGAATCAGTCCTCTTCGTCGTCATCCTCTTCGTCAGCTCGCAACATCATCCCCAATTTCGGCTCGACATCGACCAGACCGAACTACTATGGCTCTTCCTCTTCCTCCTCACCAAGCAAGCAGTCCTCGTCTCCCGCCGTTCTCAAGCCCGCTACCAGTGACGATGCCTTCTCCTCCCTCTTTTCGTCCTCTTCCGCCAAGCAGCAGGCCAACTTGAGCCTGGCAGAACGTCAGAGGCTAGCTGCAGAGCAAGCCCGGAAGAAGATCGAGGACGACAAACGCCGAAACGAGGCGCTTTGGTCCGGTATCGAATCGTCTGGCTTCGGAGGCGGCAGCAGCTCCTCCGTCAAGACGCCGTCAATACCCGCTCCTCAGCGTGTCACCTCGCCTCCTTCCAACAGTACCGCCTCGAACAAGAACAAGGCTGCAGATCCTTGGGGCTTTGATGCTTTCTCTTCGGCAGTCCCCGCACCCAAAGCATCTGCATCGACCAAATCTGCTGCTCCTCCAGCCAAGCCGGCTCCTACTCGCACCAACGACCCCTTCGACTTTGACAGCTTCGACCAATCTTTCTCCTCTGCTCCTTCCGTAGCCGTGCATGCCAGCAATGACCCAGACGACATCCTTGGTGCCCTAGCTATGCCCGTCTCGGACGCGCCAAAGCGCTCTCTTTCAGCAGCTGACCCCCGTATTGCTAGCCTCTCAACTTCGGCTGCAACATCTTCGGCTGGCAGCTCCAGAGTCCCGTCTCCAGCCAGCGGCAGCCGCCCAACCGCGAATCGCTCCACTCCAGCAAAAACTGGCTCTCCACCACCGCATGTTCTCGGTCAGATTGTCGAGATGGGCTTCTCCCTCCAACAAGCAAAGCAAGCCCTCGCCCGTACCGATACAGGCGTCAATGTCGAAGCTGCACTCGAGCTTCTCGTCGGCAATAACGGTGCGTCTCGGCACGTGCACGATGACGATGAACGACTCGCACGCAAGCTTCAGGCGAAAGAGCAAAGACATGCGCAATCCAGCTTTCGCGACTCGGACGACGAGCAGGATGACTACGAGCTTGAGCGCCAACGACGCCGGTCTCAGCGAGAACGGCAGCAAAGCAACAACGACAGCCGAGCACCGCGTCGTCCTCAAGCTGATGGTGGTGCGTCGAGCAACCTGGACCACGAAGCCGCCGCCGACTGGCAACAACAAGCCGATCAACTCTACGCCCAAGCTTCAGAGATCGGCTCTTCGGTGCTCACCAAAGCTAGCGCCTTTTGGTCCTCGGCCAAAGCACAAGCTCAGAAGGCCCTGGACGAACGCAATCGTGCAGCAGCAGGCGCGGACCGAAGCAATACGCCTTCCGACGCAGGCAGCGAGCGTCATCGAGCACGCAGATGGGGCGCTTCGAGCGCAGCTTCCAAGAACAAGGAATGGTCGGGCAAGCCTAAATGGATGGTCGATGCAGAGCTGGCCGAGGCTGACGGTACCGGCTCGAATGATGCAGCCAGTCGAGACGAGAGACCGAATAGAAGCGATGACCAGCCTGCACAAGTGGGTGGGTTCAAGGACTCTGACAATGAGGATTACGCTGCTGCACCGGAGCTGCCTACGCGAGCCACGCGTCGACCTGCAGCTCCTGTGGCTTCCGCTGCTCCGGCTGCGAGTGTTGCAGCAGCAGCTACCGCCGTGTCGTCTGCTGCGAGCGCGTTGTGGGGTAACACCAAGGCTCAGGACATAGACCAACCACCGCCGAGCTTACCTGCTCGAAGTAGTGCCGCTGCGACTGCCTCTGCATCCAAGACTGGCTACGTGTCGCCCAACCGACGCGCCACTCCATCTCGATCTGCCGCGCCATCGCCCATTCCACCGAAAGCCCCGCTTAAACGACGACCCATTCCATCGGATGCGTCCCACTCCATCTCCTCCGCCAACCGCAACAAGCAGGAGGGGAACGAGCACTTCAAGCGCGGCGCCTACGCAGACGCCGAAGCCAGCTACACGCGAGGCATCTCTGCGCTCGAATCCTCCTCCTCCGACTCGGTGCGTCTCGTGCCTCTGCTGAGCAACCGGGCCAACGTTCGGCTGAAGAACGGCGATGCCACGGGCACTATTGCTGACTGCGATCAGCTGCTCTCGATCGTGCTCTCGCTCTTCGGTGGGTCGCAGCGGGATGCGAGCGGTCGGATCGCCGTGTACAGAGCGAGTCAGGAGGCGGGACTGCCGGCTGAGCTGGCAGAGGTGAATCTGAGGGAGACGTATGGCAAGGCGTTGGTGAGACGCGCGCAGGCGTTGGAGACGAAGGAGAGGTGGAAGCTGGCGAAGGCGGATTGGGAGGTTTTGCTCGAGTACGAGAAGGTGGAGGGATCAGGGGTCAAGACTGCTGCGAGCAATATGCGGTTTGCCAGGGAAGGGTTGTTCCGGTGTGGGAAGATGTTGGGGGAGAAGGTGGTTGGGTCTGCTGTCTCCACCGCTCCCATCAAAAAGTCGAGCACGACAGCTGGAGGAGGAGAGAAAGCGAGCGAAGCATTCGCCACGCAGCAAGCGGCCCAAGCAGCGGAAGAGTCGGCGCGCTTCGCACTCAAGGACTCCGTGGATGCCAAGATCGAAGCGTGGAAGAAGGGCAAAGAGGGCAATCTGAGGGCGTTGCTCACGTCGTTGGATACGATCGTTTGGGAGGGACTGGGGTGGAAGCCGATCGGGTTGAATCAGGTGTTGGACGAAGGCGGGTTGAAGAAGAACTATACAAAGGCGATAGCGAGGTTGCATCCGGATAAGGTGAAGCGCGGGGCTACGGTGGAGCAGCAGATGATTGCCGGTGCGGCGTTTCACGTGTTGAACGAGGCTTGGAATGCCAAGCAGGGTTAAGACGTGGGCGAGAGAGGATGCAAAGCGTTGCAATCAGAAAACTTATTCGGCCGACGCATTGTTGCACACACAGAATGAGAGAGGGAGAGACCGTGTAGTGTCGATATGAGCTCGTAAGTCGGACGGACAAATGTGCTGTCGCTCTGACGATACTTTCGATGGCTGAGCACTCCAGTGTTGCAAACCTGCGTTCCACACACGCGTGTGCTTCAGATCGACAAGCGATAAGTCGGGACAAAAGAACTCAGATACCAATGGTGAATGCTTTACATGCAGTAGCCAGAGCGAGACAGCAACGAAATTTTCGGGGGAAGTCGGGGAGTGTATTGACAAGGTGGTGATCTTGTGCCTTTGCGAAGGAGGTTCTGGCAGCAGTGAGGGTGGAGAGTGGAGAGATGTTGCCGTAGAGAGCAGGGATCTCCGTGGGTCCTTCGACTGTTGAACAGACAGTTGCTGCTATTTGCAGTTCGTAGACGGGGACTCGGATGTGTTGAGTGAGGAGCGTGAGAATCGGTCTTGGCAAAGGCTGACTGTTCTTTCTCCAGAGTGCGTCTTTGAGACGACTACCTCCTCGGTGCAGCCGCACCGGCGGCATTCGGATTCGCGGCACCCCCCGCCCCCGCTGCCGCCGCTGGCTGTCCCGCCCCCGGGTTTTGCACCGACAGCACCGAGCTCGCATACCTGCTGATCAGATCCGTCAAGGTCAAGTACGCCTTCCTCACCACCGGTGGACAACTCTGGTGCTGTGTGTACCCATCCAAGACGCTCTTTACGTGTTGGAAAGCGGCTCGAGTGAAGGAGCTCATGTAGAACCTCAAACGCAAAAAGTGAGCGTAGAAGAGAGGCGCCATCAAGGAGTTGCGGAAGAGCACGGCTCCAAACAGCACCCTAGCAAAGATGGCCACTTCGGCGTAGGCGACGAATCGCATGGCAGGATCGTAGTTGGCCTTGACCCAGGCTTGGACGAACTTGGCGATCTTGGCGGGTGGTGCGGCGGGTTGGGTGGCAGGCGCACCTCCAGCAGCGGCCTGGTTAGCGCCTGGTGCCGGGGACGCAGATGGAAAGACGATGGGGATGACGGTTGTTCGGAGGAAGGTGAGCACGTGGAAGAGCGAAAACGTGACGAAAGGGACGAGCGTGATGAAGATGGGTTTCGACATGAACCAGTACACGGCGAGGAAGAGGTACTGGACGTTTTCGTCCATCAAGGCGCGCTGGATGTAGGCCTTGTTGAGCTGAGGCACTCCGAAGGATTTGTAGACTACGACGCAGTACGAGATGATCGCGCCGAGGTAGGTGGCTGTGTACCATCGCGAAAGGCCGCCGGACGAGGTTGCAAACATGACGGTGCCGGCGAGATAGCGAAGACCGGCAAAGAAGCACAGAAAGTGCCCCGCGGCCCAGATGAGGTGCGGTGTCGACGCCGACGGTCGTGGCTATACAGGATGAGCGATAACGGGGGGAGGAGAACGTGTCAGCATAGCTTGTATCATGCAACGAGCTCAAAGCAATGGGTCGATTACTTACCATGATGGGCGAGGTTCCTTCGTGGTGCGACCGTGCGGTAGAGAATGAGGGCTGCGGTGCTCGGAAGCCAAATACGGGAGGATCGAGATGGTGGTTTCAAGCTGGACCGATACCGAATGGCGGTGATGATGGGAGAAGTGATAGTAGAAAAACGGATGGTCCGTGGCAGTGTGAGTGAGGTGGAGGAAAGACGCACACGCGGATGGCCCGATAAAGAACAAAGAGAGAGAGAGCTAGCAGCGCTCCAACGCCTAAATTCCAAATTCCAATTGCAACTCCCAGCTCAGGCTTGGCTTCCACGGCGCAGCGAAGAATTCTTGGTTTCTCTCTCCGCTGACTGAAGCCAAGTTCTGAAGGCTAGGCTGATCCGAGCGGGGTCACACGCCGCGAGCCCTGAACCAAATTTAGCCATGACGCGTTGGCTACATTGGCTTAATCTCGATTTGCGGATGGCCCGACCCGATTGCCAGCTCGATTTCAGTGGAGTCACGGGGGAAGCTGTGGGCTGATGCGGAAAGGGTTCAACCTGCTGCGCTTCATGCGGGTTGCTCGCGTCAGAGTGTGCGCCATCGGGTGGGGTCCGACTGGCTCGACTCGACTCGACTCAACTGAACTTGACTCTTGACATCACCCATTCCAACCGACAAGAATCAGCAACATCGTATCCTTCGCTACCTCCGACGACGTCAAATCACGCTCCATCACGACGACTCAGCTTTTCATTCTTCGTCGGCAATCGCGCTCATCAGTTGTCATTTGGTCGCGCAGTGGTCCGAAACAACATCATCTCAATAGCCGCAGCATAACAGCATGATCGACAGGATATCCCGTCTCCGCCGTCATAACCAAGCCTGAACATGTTCGAAGAGCAGATAGCACCGTCTCCTGGCGTCTCCTACCCGTGGTCTGCGCGTCTCTCCACCTCCGCCTCCACCAGCGCTTCCACCACCGCACCTCCCACTCCACCCTCGCAACTTCCCTTTGGTGACGAAGGGTCGCACCACATACACGCAAAGGATCAAGAGCACCAGCTTCCCGAACTCCACCTGCTCAACATGTCGTGCGACGATGCACTCAGCGACCTCAGCGACGAGGCCGACGGCTTCTTCTCTCTCGATATGGACGTCAGCATTGACCAGCAGCTGCAGGAATCTCATCCTTCCAATCCGTCATCACACGCAGTGCCATCAATATCCTCGTTGAAGCAGCGACTGGAAGCATCGCCTCAGCGCAACAGCCGCGACACTTCAGCCTCACCACTCGCTCACCCTGCGGTGCGCAGAGCCTCCGAGACCGTCGCCTACTCGTCGTCTCCACTCCAGGGCGTCGGACTCGACCCCATCATGGCTTCACGATCTCGCAACTCTCCCGCCCTCGCCCCCGTCAACGCAAGGGAAGCTTCCGACAGCCCGACATCGGCGAATAACGGATCGCGTCATGCATCTGCGCCTTCCTCCTTCGGCCCGATTGCGCCAGAAGTGGATCAGAAGGGCAACCTCGAGTACAAGCTCAAGATCCTCCCTCCCAGCAGGGAACGCTTCGATCGTCTCGTTACGCAGCTCAAATGGAGGCTGCTCGAAGGTGGTGGGCTCGCTGTCTACGAAATTGGCGTTCTCGACGACGGCACCTTGATAGGACTCGATGCAGACTCGATGAAGGATTCGCTCAAGCTGCTTTCGTTGATGGCATCGGAAGTTGGCGCGCGTTGTCATGTACAGCGTGTGCTTGCGCTCGAGAAGGTCATCGTCCCAAACGGTGATGCATCTGCCTCATTCGCTGCTCCAGCCGCCTCGTCGCGCATCGCTTCCTCAGAGTCGGATCTCAGCTTACGCGCTCTGTCGCCTTCCGAGGCGACGCAAATGCTGCAGCCTTACATCCACACCTCCACTGAAGTGGACGCCGACACCCGCGCACAGCTTCTCGAGACGGGATCAGCCGGGTTGTACCGCTTCGACATCGCTGAACAGCAGCTTCCCATCCCACTACCTCTTGCGAACTTCGACATCGACGCACCCGATGTCGCTGTTGCTTCAATAGCCGCAGTCGACCCTGCCGATTCTGCCGCCTTGACCGATGCCACCTCTTCCGACGCCGACACAGCCATATCAGCTCCAACCAAACGACGCCTGCTCAAGTCTAGCATCAACGGTCTTGCTTCGAGCAACAATGAGAGCTCAGGCTGTGTTCGACCCAAAAAGAACATCCTGCAAGGTCGCGACCAATCTGCCATTGTGTATCTCGCCTCGAAGGAAGAGAAGCGCATTATGCGTGCCGTTGAAGCCGCCGCCGCTGCTGCCGCCGCCGAAGCTGAAGAGGAAGCAGCAATGGCAGTTGCCAACGCCAACGCTGCCAAAGCCGAAGCGCAGGCGGACCGTGCACTCTGCCACACGGAAGCACAGGAGCGCAAGATGATGGCCAAGATGACGCGTGTGGCCGACTCGGTACAGCCCAAGACGGCTCGTGCTCGTGCTCGTGCCAAGAAGACGGCTGCCACCAACGAAACGTCTACCCCATCATACTCGGCCAGCCCATCCCCTACCGCTTCGCCAGCATTGGCTGCGGTGAATGGAGCTAGAGCAGCATCGTTCTGCTCCACAGGGGCGTATACGGGATACGAAACGGTGATGTCTGCTTTTGGCGTCTTGTCAGAGAGAGCTGCACGTACGTTGTATGGTGGTGCCCATTTGGAAGATGATTCGGTGGTTGATGCTGGGGCAGAAAGCGTCGGGTTGAAAGCAAGGCTGATCGTCGAAGCTGTGGTCAGGAGGGAAGCTGCTTCGTAGCCAAGAGCAAGATGAAAGCTGGATGTAGTTAATGGATCATGAATCATTCAAGCTATATGATCGAATCAGAGTCGGTTTTGCGTCGGCTGACCTGCGTTGGCACGATTGAGTTGAGCAAGGAGTGTCCAAGCATCGAAGCGCTAAAGCGAGTTGAAGAGCTTGTTGGGCACTCGACGTGGGCCAACGATTCGTTTTTGGCCGGGTCTTTTGATGCTAAGGAACCGCATCAGATCAAGAAAACATACACGGGCGAGCCTGCTGGCAAGGTTCTAGGCCGAGCGAGTTGCTGAATGCGGAGGATCGGCGAAGCACACGGTCGATGCACGAGCAGGGGCGCATGCACGCACGGACAGGACGGCATCGACAGACAGACAGACAGACGCAGGTACTCAGCTGTGTCGGTGATGTATGAATGCTAGACAGGGGTGTCGAATGCGTGGAAAGTAGAGGCAGAGAGACGCATAAACTCGATTATTTCCCAAGAGAGAGAGAGTGTGTGTGTGGCGCGGGGATAGAAAGCTCGCTCGCTCGCTACCACATGATCGAGTGTCTGTTTTATCCGGCGACTCACGCCTGTTGTTGGAGCGGATATTTGACAAGAGAAAAAGGAAAAATGCAGGACGGGACTGGTTTTAGAGTTGCAACTCCCCCCCTCTGTGCGTGTCTGCGCCACGCGCATGGGCAGCAGAACAGCCGTCTCTCTCTTTGTCCGAGTCTCTGGTTACTGTATTGGAATGGACCCCGTCTGGAACACGCATGCACAGCAACTGCAGACGGACAGCCCGAAGCGCAGCAGCACACCTGGACAGACGCGTGCCTCCCGTGACAGTGCAAAGTGACAGCTGTGCATCTGCCTCTGCTCCTCTGACGGCTGTCATTCGCGAGCAGGTCGGACTAGCCGAGGCTGGCATTCTGGAACACACCTGTGACTTGTCGGTCACTGCCGCTTTGGGGCTGTCCAGGAACGCACACATGGCTTTGTTCCCGCTCCCGCGTTTGGCACACGCCACGATTATCCGCCTTACTCATGGGAACATGTGCATTATGAGTGTTGGGAACAGGTGACAGTGCTTGTGCAACTTGTGATTGTGCGGGCATCGCGACGTCTGTGCACGAGTCGAACAGGTGACAGGGAGACATATATAACAGTAGTGTCGACCTCCTTCCCCCTGCTCGTCAATTACCTTCGTCCCACCTCGCCTCTTCATACATCATTCCTTCACCCCTCTGCCCTCTCGCTCTCAACCACAGACGACTAGATGAACGTCCTTGGACTTGGACGAAACACACTGCGTGCGTATCATCCCTCAAAAGCTCTCGTCCATACACTCGAGCGACCCTTGACTTACCCCTACTATCATTTCCACCCTTTGCAGAGAAACTAGGTCGGTCCACTTCGGGTGCCAACATGTCTGCCCAAGCCGACTCGCACGTTCACGACGATGCTGCTTCCACCAGTATGGTCAAGCCCGCCTTTGAACGTACCGAGAGCCACCTTACCGCTCTCACCGAGAACAGCGACGCCAATATGAACCTCGACACTCCACTCACCACTCCTTCGGTCACCGATCAGCAACTCAGCTTCCTCACCGTCCCACAACAACAGCCTTCCATCGAGGTCCGCCGCAATCTCGTCACCCTCATCGATGAGCTTTCCGACCAAGACTTTGCCGACTGCGATCTCGAGTGCTACCTCGAGTTCCTTTCCGACGAACGTCTGCTTCACATGCCTCGCAAGAACTCGGCTTGGGACAAGGTTCTGCGACAGGCCGAGGAAGTCGGTGCACAGTTGAACCACTTCTCACAGCTAGCTGCCGATGAGCACTCGCTCAAGACCACGCTCGTCGCAGTACGTCTTTTGCTCGATGTAGGCCACCACCAGGCCGAGGCGCTCCGTCCGCTGTTTGAGCTTCTCTCCCAGATCGCACATCTTCTCATGCGATCGCTCCACCAGAGCAGCCCTTACCGTTCCAGCTCGTCCGTCCGCTCGCTGCTGCTGTCTCTCTTCCAACGCTACATGTCGCTCACCGCCGACCTCACACGCCACGTCCGTAGCCGTATGAGTCGACTCACTCCCACAACCTCCGAGGCCATTGATATCGGTGCCCTCTTTTCGGCTGCCATCGACTCGATCGACGCCGAGGTGGCTCAACTCGACCGCCTCGTTTGGCGCCTATCCCTCCAGTCTCACAAGCCTTCCCTGGTACCCACCGCTACCATCCTTGCCGAGCTTTCGCGAAGCGTCGCATCCAGCCTCAAGTCTCGACTCTTCGCTAGCCTTCAACGTCAGGCCACCGTTGAACCCGAGACGTGCGAGTGGTTCCAGTCGCCTCTGCTCAACTTCCTGAGAAGCCGCGACGATGTTCTTCAGATCACCGGAAAGCAAGGCTCCGGAAAGTCGACACTCGCTGTCTGGACTCAGCAACGCCTGCGCAGGACGCTTGGCCGCAAGTCGTACGACGTGCTGCTTGTCGACCAGCATGATTCGCACACCGACCTCGATTTGGCCAGATCGCTCCTCTTCCAAGTCTGGCAGAAGAGTATCGGCGACGTCCAGCTTCACTCCGATCTCGCCGAAGCCCTCAACGGGGACAAGGACGACCAGGAACTCGCTCAAGCAATGTGGCATGTTCTACAGCGCGCACTCGAGCGCAACGACTCGACCAACGAAACCGTTCTTCTCGTCGATGGCCTCAACACGCGTCACGTCGAGGCTTTCCACCACCTCCGCCAGTGTGTTCAACGCAGTCCGCGGGCCCGCATGGTCACCTTTGGTGGCGCTTTCGCCGACGATCTCCCTGACTACAAGATCACCAACGACGTCAATGCCAGCGACATGGCCATCTACCTCCGCCGAGGTCTTGACAAGCGATCCGTCTCGCACAACGCTACCCTGATCGATACTCTCGTACAGCGTGCTAACGGGTCTTTCCTCTGGTCTTACCTCTATCTTGAGCTTGTTCGGCTCCACGGCGACCACAACGTAAATTGCACCCATGACGTCCACGGCTTGCTCCACGAGCATGCAAAGCATCTCGGAGACGCTGGTGAGCGTCTCTTGCAGTTTATGCTCATCGCCAAGCGCGCACTCTGCTGGAGCGAGCTCGAGGCTCTCATGCGCCCCGAACAGCTCCAAGCCGCGCGGGCTTCGCCTCATGCCTCCATCTTTTTCCAAGAGATCCGAGGTCACCTCCACTTCCGTCATGCCACGATCCGCAGCTTTGCCAGGGATCACCTCATCAAGGACGAGAAGGAGGTTCAGAAACGTATGCTCCGCAAGCTGCTGCTCTCTGTGAGCGGCGACTTTACCGATGTCGCTATGCCATGCCTCGACTTGCTGTCCGGCAAAGAGCTCCAGGCTTCGTTGGACCAGGGCAAGGCGGTCGAGTACACCGTCCTCTTCTGGCGTCACCATTTCGAGCGCTCTGGACTCGACGCAAAGGACCTGGGCGACTGCTTCCCGCGCTCTACCCAATTTGCACTCCTCGAATGGTCCTACTGGAACAATCACCGCCATCTAGAGCATCACACTGCCGGCCTCGACGTTCGCAAAGCCTGCTTCGGCGAAGATCACCTCTCCGTGATGCAGGGATACCTCGCGCTTGCGTGCATCCACCGTGATCACCACCAGTTCACGGAAGCTGCCGAGTTCTTCTACCGGGCCTGCAAGCTTGGGCAGGAGGGCCGCTGCATCGATCGATTCTCGCTCATCGTCACGACGTGCGCTTCGCTCTTCCTCGCTTGCACCGAGACGCTCGTGTTCACCAAGCGGACCGAGCTCTGCACCATGCGCGAACACATGGTCCGCTTCACGATCGAGATCTGCCGCCGCCAGCACGGCGAGCACAGCGAGCAGGTCATCCACTGGTACCAAGTCCTCATCCAGCTGCTCGTCAGCATCAAGGACCACGCGACAGTCATCATCGTATACCGCGAGCTCTACCACATCTTGCTGCACAACCACGGTCCGCGTCACCCGCGCACCAAACACGTTTGCAACGAGATGGCCGGACTCGAGGTGGTTGTGCATGGAGAAGATACCGAGCTCATCGACACGTACATCAACTCGATCCTCGAGACCGTCGACGAGCAGGAGGACGAGCACGAACACGAGGCGCACATCCACGTACTTCTTCGCCTCGCACGCGGGTATGCCAAGCACACGATGCACTGGCACCACGCGTGCAGGCTCTACCTCACCGTCTGGCGTCGTCTCGGCGAAGTGTGTCGTCGTCAGTGGTCGCTGGAGATGACGTTGCTCAAGATCGACGTGTGCATCGAGTATGCCAAGCTTCTCCATGCCCATGGACGTGTCACCGAAGCACACGATATCCTCGTCGTGCTTTGGGCCGAGTTCCAACACGATGACTGCAAAGAGTGGAAGATCATCTTGCGTCTCAAGCAGCTCGGTCTGGTTCTGCGCACCTTTGGACTGCTCTCGATCTGCTACGAGATCTTTACCAAGCTGTTTGGTTGGTTCAAAGGATGCGGTCGACCTTACGACGATGAAGCGCACGAGATTACGGTGCTTGTCACCGAAGTCACCGAGGAGATCGAGGAGGTGACACGCAAGACCAAGACCACCACAAAGGTCACCGTCACGGAGACCGTCACTCGCGAGGTGTTTGAGACGCACTACGAGCGCTGCATTAGGACGAAGAAGGGCGACAAACACCTGTACAAGGCATGCATGCTTCTCATCAACCTCTTGCTGGCCCAGCACAACTATCACGAGGTCGAGGTGGTTATCGTTCGCACCCTCGAGATCGAATGGTCCAGCTTCCTCGACATCAACATCGACATCTCCATCCCGGACGAGCACGTCGTCGAGCTGCTCGTGCTCGCCGGCAGGTACGCGCACTGCCATCACAAGCGCGGCAACTTTGACAAGGCGGAATGCTACTACCGTCGCATCTGGCACGCCTGCCTGCGCAAGTTCGAGGTCCACCACGAGCACGTCACGCACGCCTTCTGGGCGCTCATCGGCTTCTACGAGGAGCACTACCGGTACGACAAGGTGGTGGAGCTCTACCTCGACGTGCTGGTGCGCTACCGCAAGCACTGTGGGGCTACCCATACGCTCACCATCCAGCTGCTGTATAGGCTCGGGCGCCTCTGCAAGAAGATGGGGAGGCACGACTACATTGACTACTACCTCGAGATCGTCACCGTTCTTCAGGGTCACCACGGTCACTGTCATCCCGAGGCTTGGGAGGCGGCGTGGGAGGTGTGTGGCTGGCGACACGAGCACGGCGAGTGGGAGTCGCTTGTGGAGATCTGCGGATCTCTCTGGCAGATCTTTGTCCACGGTGGACACGATCACGGTCACCACCACCATGAGTTTTTCACCCCGGACATCGTCCTCGTACTGTACGAGCGCTACACCAAGGGTCTCGAGGTGCATGTCGGCTTGCACTTTGAGGAGCACTACAAGATCACACTGGAGTTCCGCGACGTGGTGAAAGTGCGCTACGGCGTCGACCACTCGCTGCTCATCAAGGCTCTCATCGCCCTGGCCAAAGTGTGCGAGTACAAGGAGGAGCACCACCACGAGGCGGTCACGCTGTACGAGGAGGTCATCACCCGCACTCGCACCGTCACGGTCGAGACGATCACCGAGGAAGAGATCACCGTGGTCAAGAAGCGACTCACCAAGGTGTACGTTCAGATCATCGAGAAGGGAGGTCACCACGGTCACCCCGACCTCGGAGACAATGCACTGCGCGTGTGCATGGAGGTCTACCTCAAGCTCAAGCTCGAGCTGGGTTGCTGGCACGAGCTGACGCTGGCTGCGTTCGAAAGGGTGGTGCTCATTCACTTTGGTCTCGGTGGCGAGCATCACCACGGTCGAATGCTCGTGCTGATGCAGACGATCGTCATCGAGATGCTCGAGCAGTGCACCGAGTCGGTGCTCCTCTACAAGGCAGCTGTTCGCATCTCCAAGATCCTCATCCGCGTCAAGCTGAATGCGTGGGCGGAGAAGCTGCTCTGCAAGCTTCATCACCTCGTCGTTCTGCCCGGCCTCCCCTGCGAACACGAGTTCGACCTCGAATGGACTCATCACGCTCACGGCGAAGACTCGCGAAAGATCTCGCTCGTGTTCATCGTCGCCTGCCTGCACAGGCTGGGACACTACGAGCAGCGATCGTACTCGGAGGTCATGGCAGCTGTTCTGCTCGAGATGCAGCTGTACCGCTCGTTTGTGTACTTTGCCGGCAGGAAGTCGGTCGATATGGTGGTGTTGCTGCAGGCGGGTGCACGACTGCACTGCTTCTGGCACGCTATGGGCCGTACTGCTCTGTGCGGTGCTATTGTCGAGCAGATGGTTGGGCACTTCCGTGCATCCGATCTGGGCAGCTGTTTGGGAGAGGAAGTCTCGGACGAAGTGGTTGTGGTGTTGCTCGAGACACTGCTATCTCACACCGATGGCGAGAAGCAAATCGTCGACGTGGCGAAAGTCATCTGCCACTCGGTCAACCACAAGGTCAAATCGCTGCTCGAGGCGGGCGAATTCGCCATCGCGCACGAACTCGCCAAATGCGCACTCAAGCTCGCGCGTCACCACCGCCACTACCACTCCCACATCTCCTTGGGGTACAAGCTCGCCGAGTACATGGCTGGGATCGACGTCCCCGCCACGACCAGCAAGAAGCTCGGCAAGGCGATGCGTCAAACTTCCCGGGCTATTACGGACGAAGTGCTGTGCGCGCTGCGCGAGTCGAAAATCGAACTGCTCTCGCTGCGGTTCGAGGACATCCGCGGGCTGGTGCATCTGCTCGGTGCCCAGTCGAACCACGTCGAGCTCGAACAGCTGCTGCTTCGGCTATGGCGATCCCGCGAGGTGCAGCGAACTTGGCGTCCCGAAACAGTGCTGTCCGTGGGGCACGCGCTTGTGCACGCCCACGTGGCTGCGGAGCACCTGGAGGAGGCTATCGCGCTGTGCGACAGAATGTGCTACAACCTGCGCCACTCGGGTGACGGGCTGGACGAAGAGGCGATCGAAGCGAGTAGGATGCTAGCCGGGCTGTACACGCTCGCGGGGAGACATGGGAGGGCGATGGGTGTGTACGAGGAGGTGCTGCGAGAGATGGACGAGGAGGGATCGGACGAGTTGTTTGGGAAGTGGGCGGGTGAGCAGTTGGAGCTGTTGAGGTGGGCGTACGGAAGGAACGGTGGGTTTGCTAACGGGAGGGAGACGTACAGGGATCTGTTTGTTTCGTTGGCGGGACGTGGGCTGGACTGCAAGCACGAGGAGTGGGAGATGAGCGGTGCGGGAGAGGTGGAAGGCGCGAAGGGGGGTTACATCGCTCCGGACAAGTGGTATCTCATTCGCATGCCGGATGTCGTCGCCAGCGGGCCGGTCGACGCGCACCGTCACTCGCACGAGCATCACAAGGACGGAAAGAACGACCTCAAGGCGCTCGTCACCGTTCGTTCCGCTGCTCGCAAGGGGAGGGACTCGCTGACGCGCATCGCTTCGCGTCGTTCGCGTGGCTGCCAGCTCGCACCTGAGCTTGTTGTCGCTTGAGGTTACTTGATTTGTTTTTGGTACTCAGGATCTCAATGTTATGGATTGTTTCTCAATTTGGGCTGATGGCGCAAGGACTGTAGCTCATTATTTCGTACAATCAGAGTCTGTGTCCTGAAAGTCCGAGTTTTAAGGAGATATTAAGCTGGTTCCAGCATGAGCATCTTCAAGTAGAGAAGGGAAACGACTCTTTTGAGTGATGACAAGCTTTGCACAAAAGCTTTCAAGATATATGAGAGAAACATCGCATTATATTTCTTCAAGGAGAACGGGGAAAACAAATCATCTCGGGCAAAAAGGGACTAAAGTAGGCAAAGTTCAAGGGACTATTTGGGGAAGAGTCGGGGAGATATCATCGAATCGAGCTAAAAAGGACTATGAGAGTTTGATGATCAATGTCCACGCAACTTGTCGAGGAAAGAGGAATCGGCTGTGTGTGAACTGGCTTCGACCTTCCCCTCTCTCTCTGTCGGAGAGTGGAACAGGTAAAAACTCTCTGAGCTTATCTCTTCACGATCCTTTTCAAAGCTGGAGGAGCTGCTTGATCGAACCACCGTAGCTCGAACCGTTGCTCGTCTGAGCGCCACCCTGGTTGGAGGTGACACCGTTGCCGTTGACGACCTTGTCGTTGGTCTCAAAGCTGGAGCTGTCACCACCCTGGGAGTTGGCGTTGGAGAACTGCGCAGCCGAGTTGTAGGTGGCCGAGGGAACAGAACGCGACTGGATGTTCTTGTTGGAGTTCTGAGTGGCCTGCTGGTTGTTGGACTGGCTGGCGCCTACGTTTTGGTTGATCTTGCCGGCGACAGCGGTGTTGTCAACGTAAGAATCGGGGTGGTAGGTCCAGAAGTAACCGGAGGCAACGCGGGGGGCGGAAGCGTGGGCAGAAGCGTCGGCCTTGGCGTTGACGGACTGGGTGTTGCCCTGGTTCTGGGTGTTGACATCGCGGGACCAGAAGGAGTTGATGTTCTCCTTGTCCGAGACCTGCGAGGCGTCCTGGTTGGAGGACTGCTGGGGAGCGCTCGTCTGGTCGACCGAACCAGCGTGCGAAGAAGCATCCACATTCACGTTGCCGTTGTTCCAGTTACCAGCACCACCACCGACAACCTTGACGTTGCCACCGTAGGCGTCGGCGTTGCCGTTCTGCGTGGTGATCTGTGCGGTACCCTGACCCTGACCCTGGATGTCGCGGCCAAAGACGTTCTGCAGCTGCTGGTCGAGCGACTGCGTGCCGGACTGCTGGCCCTGCTGCGAAGCCTGGCCGTTCTGAGTGACAGTTCCAGCGGTAGCACCGTTCTTGACGGTGGCGGGGCCGTTGCCGCCGACGAGGTAGGCGGAGCCGCCCTGGGCGTTGGCCTGGCCGTTCTGGTGGATGCCCTGGTTGATGCCCTGCGAGAGGTCCTGCAGCTGGCGAGCCTGGAGGAACCGGTTCAGGGTCTCCTGGGTGAGACCCTGGGTGGCAGACTGAGCGCCGTCCTGCTTTCCGGAGGCGCCCTGGTTGACGCTTCCGGCGGTAGCGGTGCCGTCAACCGAGGCAGGTCCGTTGTTGCCATAGATGTAGGCAGAGCCACCCTGAGCGTTGGCGGAGCCGGTCTGGTCGATGCCCTGACCGATACCCTGGCCGAGACCCTGGTACTGGCGCTTACCAAAGAGCTGAGAGAGCGACTGCTCGATCGATCCACCCTGACCGTTGTTCTCGGCGCCCTGAGAGCCACCAGCGGTGACAGAGTTGCCGGTTCCGCTGACCACGGGGCGGTTGGACTGGTACTGGGAGCTCTGGCCACCGTAACCGTTGGCCGAGGCGCCCTGCTGTCCAAGCCCCTCGAACTGGCGCTTGCTGAAGCCAAGCTTCTGGAGCAGAGACTGGTCGACGCTTCCACCAGTTCCGTCGTTCTCACCGAACTGCGAGCCACCGGTGGTGACCGAGTTGCCGGCGCCCGAGACGACAGGGCGGTTGTCCTGGCCCTGCTGGGAGAAGCCACCGTATCCATCGGCGCTGCCCTGCTGCTTGCCAGAGGCGAAAAGCTGACGCTTGCTCAGACCAAGCTTCTGAGCGAGCGACTGCTGGACCTCACCACCCTGACCGTTGTTCTCGCCGAACTGCGAGCCGCCGCTGGTGAGCGAGCTGCCCGATCCGGAAAGGACGGGCTTGTTGGTCTGGCCCTGAGCAGAAGAGCCACCGAATCCATCAGCACTGCCCTGCTGCTTGCCAGAGGCGAACAGCTGGCGCTTGCCGAGGCCGAGCTTCTGGGAGAGGGACTGGGTGATGTCACCACCCTGGCCGTTGTTCTCGGAACCCTGAGCACCGCCGCTGGTGAGCGAGCTGCCCGATCCAGAGAGGACAGGGGTGTTGGTCTGACCCTGAGCGGACGAGCCACCGAAGCCGTCAGCAGAAGCACCCTGCTTGCCCGAGGCGAAAAGCTGGCGCTTGCCAAAGCCACCGCCGAGCTTCTGGAGCTGAGAGAGGGACTGCTCGATCGATCCACCGGTACCGTTGTCCTCGGCGCTCTGAGCACCGCCGGCGGTCAAGCTGTTACCGGCACCCGAAAGAACGGGGGCGTTGCTCTGGCCCTGCTGGGAAGTTCCGCCGTAACCGTCGGCGGAAGCACCCTGCTTGCCCTGAGAGAAGAGCTGGCGCCTACCGAAGAGGCTGCTAGCGCCGCCGCTGCCGCCACTGCCACCGAGCTGCTGGAGCTGCTGGAGGCCCTGCTGGATCTGTCCACCAGTGCCGTCGTTCTGAGCCTGTTGAGCACCACCGGCGGTGAGCGAGTTGCCGGAGCCCGAGAGGACGGGGGCGTTGGACTGACCCTGGGCAGACTCTCCACCGTAGCCGTTGGCAGAGGCACCCTGCTTGCCAGACGAGAAGAGCTGACGACCCTGGAGCTGCTGGAGCAGGTTCTGGGTGATGTCACCACCCTGACCGTTGTTCTCGGAACCTTGAGCACCACCCGAGGTGAGAGTGTTGCCCGAACCCGAGAGGACGGGAGTGTTGGTCTGGCCCTGGAGCGAAGAGCCGCCGTAACCGTTTGCGGAAGCACCCTGCTTACCCTGAGCCGACTCGAAGAGGCCACGGGCAGCGTTCTTCTGGTTACCGGTGCCGGCAACCTGAGCGTTGGCGTTGTTGTTGTTGAGCAGGTTGGCGCTGATAAGATCGCCAGTGGAAGCGTGCTTGGAGGACTTGTCGTCCTTGCAGTCGTCGTCCTTGTTCTTCTGGTTGCCAGTGCCGAGGATCTGGAGGTTGGCGTTGTTGCCGTTGAGGGCGTCGAGGTCGACGAGGTCGCCAGTGGAACCACGCTTGTTCTTCTGGTTACCAGTGCCAAGGACCTGAGCGTTGGCATCGTTGCCGTCGAGGGCGACGAGGTGAACAAGGTCGCCAGTGGAGCGCTTGTTGGTCTGGTCACCGGTACCGGCAGCCTGAACGTTGGCCTTGTTGCCGTTCAGAGCGTTGACGTTGATGAGGTCACCAGTTGAGCCACCGCCATCCGAGGGATGCGAAGAGGCAGAGTGCGAAGGGGCGGGTGCCGAAGAAGAAGAAGAAGCCGGGTGCGAAGCGGCGGGGACAACGATGGCGGGGTGCGAAGCCTTCCAAGCGTTGTCGCTAGCGATCTTGACGCCCTGCTTGTTGGCCTGGATCGAGTCAGAGGACTGAACGACGTCCTTGCCCGAAGCTTGCTGCGAAGTGCCTTGAGTGTTGGACTGCGTGATGGGAGCAGCGGAGCCGAGGTGGGCAGTGGCCACCGAAGCAGCGACGAAAGCGGTGAATCCAGCGTTGAACTTCATTGTGAAATGCGATTAAATGGAACTAGGTAGTGTCCGAGAGTAAGAGATGATTAGGGAGTAAAGGGGGAGTAGAGTATTGTCCTTGAGTGCGATGCGATGATTTGATGATGGGAGGAGATGGGATGAGGGCTAGAATGGTTGAGGTTATATAGATTTCGAGTAGGGCCAAGGTCTCGCGGTTCGTGCTACAGGGAAAACGGCTTGCCGTGCAGTGAAGCATACAGCAGAAGGCAACGAGGGCTAAGCAGAGTGAACACAGCAAACATACAGCGGAAAGAGACCGGTCTTAGTGGATGCCAACGGCGCTGCTGGAACACAGATGAGATGCTGATACGTATAGCGGAACTGAACGAGGATGTATCCCGCTGTAGCAAGGTCATGTCACCGGTGTCCTACCCGTAGTGACAGTACATAGTCCTAATCGTTTTGACATTGAACGGCGGTGTTGAAAAGCGACAAGCCAATTAGACGGCGTGGATCAAGGGTTTTGACGTGATAATCGGCAGATCTTCGCCAAAGCTCGGAATCGTGCCGAATGAAGAAGCGATGAGAATCTGACTCGCCAAGGTAGCGATGGGAACATGACTCGCCAGCGTAGCGATGGGAAAGTTCGATAGAAGCGATGGGTATGGGAACCTTTACCATCGGATGTGTAGCGAGGAGGAGGGTGTCTGGGTGTCGGATGTCGATGGCGTCTCTGCTTGATGACGTCGAGAGCACGAGGTCGGACGGGCAAGGCCAAGCGATGAGGACGACGAGGGGAGGAGAGGTGGTGGTGACCAACGAGGTTTACGGCAAGGACTTGCATCTGACTGCTCGGTTGCGGAGTCACCGGCAAAATTGGGCAGGGAAATGCAAGATCCGAAAGCGCTGTCACGGCAATGCAAACGCAAAGTATGGCGGACGCAGACAGTGGAGGATGCGGAACGTGTCAAAGCACGCTGAGAGGAGAGAAGGGAGAAGATGCGAGATGTGTCGAACAGTGCATATGACAGAGCTGTTTGCGACTGAGATCGCGGCGTCTTGCTGTCAGTGGCGTGGACAAGGCGGGGCAGGACTGTTTGCGGGACGGAGCACGCCTTTGTGCATGCATTTAGGGACGACATGAGGTGTTTGGACTGTGCATGATGCTAAAATGGCATGATTCGCGCCACAAGCCCGTGACGACGACGCACAGCGATGCTTTTCAGCCACGGCTGTCAGACTACGCAGAAAAACCTTTTTTTTTTCCTCGACATCGAAAGCAAGTCGGCATGCATCCCGACGGAACAGCATTTGGTGGCGCGCGGCGCACATCGAAGGCAGCGGCTAATCTAGAAACACCGGCTCAGCTGTTGATCGAAGATTCCCATGCAAGCCATCTGGAAGCGATCGCCTGTCAATCTTGAAGGTCAGCAGCCGAAGTGACGCCACGGCACGGCACCAAGCGGAGAAAATCGCATCCAGGAATTTACCGGAAAATCAAATAAATGGAAAACCAAAAATTAAGCGAGGCAGGCGTCGATATGTCGGCGACTTTATGTCGACTTCGGCAAAACGTGTTCTCGCTGTGGAAGTCGCTTGACGAGGTTAAGAGCACGTTGACGCTGACACAGATGCCACGCCAGTGGAAGGGTGACTGTCGATCCCGTTTGCAAATCTGCACAGACCACAACGCCTGTCAAAACAAGTTCCTTGGATCGACACACCCTTGATTTCTCTCAGAGACCCTTGAGATCGCAAGGTTGCCGTTGCCATCTGTCATCGTGCAGCTTCTTTCGGCCTGTCAAAGATTGCCTTTCCTCGGCTGTCAGACCGATGTCGGCTTGTTTGTCTCGCGTGCAGATCCGATGGGAAAATATGGACAGCTCTCATCTCACAAAGGGTTGCGATGGTGCAAGAAACCGAAGAGGTACACAGATCTTGAGTTTTCAGGACGATCGAAGAGAGGTGTTGGCTGGACGAGCAGTGCAAGTCATTCAAGATTGCTGCAGTCCTGGCTGAAATGTGAGCGTTATGGGGGGCAACCAATCCTGTCGGAGAGGTCGGTGTGCGCGAAAATGTGTTCTCGCTTTAGCTTCCATCATCATCTGCTTCCATCTCTCCATCATCCTACACCTACACGTCAACTTCAAGATCATATCGTCAAGATGAAAGTGACTTCGAGTCTAGCTTCGATGCTGGCACTGTCGATGCTGATTGCGGTCAGTGTCGAGAGCGCGCCTGTTTCAAAAGGTCAGTTGGACATTTTGGTTCGAGGACTCGGTGATGCTCCTCTTATCGTTCTTGGAAATTACCAGGACGGCAACGACAACCAGAGCGGAAATGGCAACCAGCAGACGAGCGTTTCCAACACCAACGTCAATGGTGACGGTAACTCGGTCACCTCCAACTCTGACGGCTCGACGCAGAGCCAATCCCAGAACGCCAACCAATCGAGTGGCTCATCGACTGGACAAACCTCTCAGCAGCAGTCGCAGCAACAATCGCAGACTTCGAACAACAACCAAGTTGCCAACTCGCAAGGTGCTCAGCAGCAGGCTCAACAGCAGGCACAGCAAGCTCAATCGCAATCGCAGGCGCAAAACTCGAACTCCGGTCAAGGATCATCCACCGGTCAGACTCAGAGTCAATCGCAAAACAGCGTTCAGAATGCCCTGCAACGACGATGCAAAGAGTGGTATTGAACTGCCACCCATGACCCTTCCATTCGATATCTTCTGTTGTCCTTTCACCATTTGTTCGTTACCGTCTCTTTTTTAGTCAGTTCATGTTAGCGGAGGTGTCTTGATCGCCATTGCGTGATTTTTGTCGCCTCTTTATTTGCGCGTAATTTCTAATTTCGTCTGAATCATTGCTGTGTATTCGCTCGTGATTTTCACATGACGATTGTTGAGACCGGTGGAACGAGTTGCTATTCGAATCGTTCAATTATAGCAAGCTTGTGCTGCGACTGTATCAATCCTTACGGTTAGCTGGAGGAAATGGCAAGGAAAAAGTGTGCCAAGCAAGGATTGCTGAGTCAGTGCATTGGTGCCAACATGTTCGACCCACAAGGTCAAGCGTGCAAACTAGCTAACCGTGCCCTGTGTCCGATCACTCCCAGAAAAGTGTGGCACCATCGAAGCTGTCAGGTGATGCCGAATGGAAAAAAGAGTGGTTCAAGCGCATGTTCCCATGCACGTCAGTTTGGCGAACATCGGAGAAAAAAAGGTAATTTGCCGAGTTTTCTATTTTATTCTTTACGCGAAGCAGGACCTGGATGTACACGGCACCGACCAACCCACTGCTTCGGAAACGGCACAGGTGGTAACCTGTCACAGATGACAGCGACGGCGGCTGATGCAGTTACTGCTGATTCTCGCTGGACGTGACCAACATGATGCAAGACCTCGCCGTCATTGACGTGTCACGAGCCGATCTTGCTTGCTGCCGTGCCGCTCGGTACAGTATGACGGTAGCCAACCTCCTTCCGACGGTGAGTCTTGGATTGTTCCCATGGTGTTTGATACGATGTTCGGCAAACACAACTGTAGCCGTCATTTTAAGTCTGGATCACGAGACTGCAAGGAAGAGGGTCAGATAACAACATCGTGCAAGAGAGCTACAGACACAGCATGACTTGCGTGAGAGGTTGGTGCGGTGACTTGCAGTATTTGACGAGAAAAGGTCTTGAACAAGTCACCGTAGGGTAAACGTTGGCGCTCGATCTTCGAGAAAGGAGGACTGCATGTGTCAGTGCCGTGAATGCATCAGAGTTCATCGTGGCAGCACTTGATGCGTGTCGCCATGCGATAGTCGAGATTTGTATATAAGCATGCTAGCCTGACCAATCAAAGCGACGCGCGTCTTTCTCCATCGCAACATCAAGTTCCCCTCCTCAAGATCCACGATACGATGAAGTACTTTGCCCTTTCGATGGTCTCTGCACTCGCGCTCGCCAGCATTGGCAGCGAGGTAGCATCTCGACCTCTGCCTCAAACACAGTCGGACACTCAGAACCAACGATACGCCCAGCAAGCTCCTTCCTCCGGTAGCCAAGCAAGCCAGACTGGTTCGGCTGGTGGTTTTGGTGGTACTGCATCTGCTACGCAGAACAACGACTACTCGCAAGTCGCACCTGGAAATCAGGTGATGAACGGAGGAGGTCAGAGCGCTTCCCTTCAAGGCTTGGCCGGCACTGTGATGCAAGGTGCCAATGTTGGTTCGCTCCTCCAGCGGCGTCAGTCGGATGGTCAGTCGGGTCAGCAAGCTAGCGCTGGTGGATACGCCGGTACCTCTTCTGCCTACCAGAACAACGACTATTCCGGTGTTGCTCCCGGAAACTCTGTCGAACTGGGAGGATCACAGTCGGCTTCCGACCAGGGTACTTCTGGCACCGTCGACCAATTTTCCAACGGCGGACAGGTCAGCCAGAGGAGTCTCCCTAACGACCCTACGCAGCTGCTGAACGTGTTCCAGAACGGTATCCCCACGGAAATGGTCGCTCGCGCTGCCCAAGACGCCAGCAGCGATGACAACGGCATCTACATTGTCAGCACCAAATTCGGACCTCCCACGACGAGCGCCAACGAGCAGCACCCGGTCGCTTGTGCTCAGGGTGGTGAGCACTGCATTCCTCACTACGAAGGATTGGGCCCCGAAGAACGACCTTCTCCTCAGGTTGGATAAGTGTCTCCTGTCTCTGTAGTCTCTCTCTCTTGCTTGGATCGAACAATGAATGACTGGAAGTTGTGAGTGATGCTTGGATGGTCAGTGCGAGGACATGAACGTGTTGCTGGTGCGAGCTGTCAATCCGAGCTGTCAAAAACCACGCTAAAATGATTGACGTGACGTGCTTCCCCCTCTTTTTTTCTCACTCGTTTAATTTCCGTCGGAGCCCATCAGTCAGCTCGCGTATTCAAAAAATGGATTTTCGAATATTCGACCCTGTGAGATCGTCGTCAACCGTCGATCACGATTTGCACTCTGCCGATCCTGTGCCACAAAAAGAAATGAGAATGATTTTCAGGAATCTTCGACGGAGTAAAATAAATCCGCCAATTATAATAGCCGGGCATCGGCCAACGTGTCTACTCACACCTAAGCGAATTGCGCGCATCGCCTAAGCGCTGGACGCTGCACGGTGCGATAATTCAACGGCAACGCCAGATGCTTGAACGCCGGATTGACAGTTTTGACAGCTCAAGATACAGTGTGGTACCCTCTCCGCCTTTCAGCGCTCGACAGCTTGGCCGTTTGCATGAACGCCGTTCGCTGCAAGGCTTGCCCTGCTTAATCAGCTCGTGCTCAACGTGCGCCTCGTGCCCGTTTCCTTGCCCCTTTTTCCCTGACGATCATGCCTTTTTCTCTCCACCACCACATTTGGTGCCATCGAATGTTCCCACGCACCCAGAAATGTTCGGCCTCGTCAAGCGAAGTTGGATAGCATCCGGGACTGCCCGCTCGCCAAGACGCCCGAGATGCAATCTTGCCGAGAGCCTGTCGAGATCGGCGAGACAAGGCTCCCGGCATAGAAAACGTGCCACATCCTATTAATAAAAGCGAGACACGATCACGCCAGTTCTGACAGGAAGATGCCGTCGGAGCATGTGACTCTGTGCCACTTGGGCATGCGCCTCTTCTTTTGGACGACCGGTGTTTTGGCACCCTGGAATCCGCTGTTCATGTCGCCAAACGACACTGCGAGGTGAGGTCAATGTTGGAGCTGGCCATTCATGCGTGTCCGGCTGTGTCACTGATGCTCTCATGACCTCGGTTTGCCTCTCTTCGATGGACGCTGCCAACCCTCAACCTGAACCCTGAACTTGACCCTCAGGTCTATGCTCATGGCGACATCGCCGAACACTTGCTTCTGTCCTGTCGCAAGCCACCACTCCTTGCATTCTCCCTCCTCCGCCATCTCTTGCACAAGCAAACGTGCCCCTCCATGCCGTCATCATACCTGCTCGCCTGCTGGTGGTAACATTCCCACGCTCACTCGATGCGAGACTTCCTTCTCGGTTGATACGTTGATCCATCCGAGTATCTCCCAGCGTTGCCGAATGCCATCCGAACTTGCTCGGCATCGCCAAGCAGATCGGACGGTTATACATCGTCCTACTCGAACCTTCGCCAATACGATTGGTCATGAGGTCAGGACGATAAGCATGATGGGAGACAAGGCTCGACGCTGGGCTCCGTTGGGATATGTCTTCTTGCCGGTATCTTGTGATAGAGGTAACGGCGACTTGATCGTCTCATCGAAATCATACCGTGTCACAAGGTTTCTACGGTCATCTGACACGATTGCCCCTGTCTTGTCGACGTTTGCCCGCTTCATCGATCTCCATTCAAGACACCGAAACTCAGTTCAAGTGCCCTTTGGTCCAGATTCACAGCGCTATCAGGACTGTGTGAAGCAAGTCGGACGTGTCTCAAACGGCGGATGCCGCTGCAGTCGATATATAAGCCACACGATAGATGTTATGTTCACTCCGCATCTCCTCTCCTCCTCAGCAACTCGGTCCCTATCGTCGTCCTTGCGATCAAGATTCCCATCAAGACCAAGATGGCGCGTCCATCCTTTCAAGATCCTTCCATGGCTACCACGGAACAAGTGTGTATGCTGGGTCTCTACGCAGTCGGTGCTTCACTGTTGACCACCATGCACCAGACCTCTCCCATGGTCACCGATAGCTTGCCGTCCAAGATCGAGTTTGATCGCAAGTCTGTCGACATGCACCACCCCTTCCCACAGAAGCCAACGCGTGCCTCTGCCAAAAGGGCAAGACGCTCGAAGCGAGAGGCAAAGAGCCTCGATCTCTTGTCCGGCGGTATGTCCGTGTCTGCTTCGCAGCAACCGGCTTTGCGCGATTTCTCGTTCAACGCGAACAAGTTGGGCATCACAGGCGATCACCTGGCCGCAGACTTTCCGCCGAGTCCACTTTCGAGCCGTGTGCATCTCCCTCCCTTGCAGGATGAGTCTCCTCGTTCAAAAGGTTGGTTGTCGTACCTGACACCTTCTTGGCCGCGCGCGCAGCCATCGGATGAAGACAGCGACGACGATGACGGTGCACTTCCACATGGTCCCAAGGGCTTGAAGAAGCAGCGCTCGTGGTCTCGTTTGGCATCCCTAGCCGCTCCTTCGCGCCGCGAGCAGCGTTCTGCGTCAGATCCTGACACGAGCGCAACTTCGTCGACATACGTGCCAGCGAGATTGGGCCAGATTCCCTTCTTGCCTCGCGAAGAAGATGCTGCGCAGAAGCCTCGTTCGAGGAGCATGAGTCTCGATGTCCCGAGACTTGCACGTAAGAGCTTCAGCACATTGCGTTCCAAGCGCGCTCCGTCCGCTCAACCTTCGCCTCAAGCTCCGCAGCTTGGACATCTCGCTTTTGCTCAGGATCAAAGCTATCGCAGCTGGAACGCTCCAGGTATGCAGGCGGAATTCGATCATGTCTTGTTGCGAGATCTTCCTCGTGAGAGCACCAGCTCGAGCGAGTCGGAGTACAGCTACGATCGCAGACACAGTATCAGTGGAAGCAGCGGTCACGAGGCACTTCACGCTCGAGCGAGGGGCGACAGTCAAGGTTCCTTCCCGAGCACGGCTCCCTCAACTGTCTCTGATACTGCTGTCATGTCGTCTGCTTTCAGCGTCTCGGATACGCAACGTAGCGACAGCGAAGGCGAAGAGTCGGATGACGACGAGGATGATATTGAGTGGGAGAGACCTGAAGCGATCCGACCCGCTTGCACCTCTCCGATCGATTTTGAGCACGTACCAGCTTCGCCCACCGCAACTCGCAGCTCTGGCAGACGCAGCTTCCAGATGTGGTCTCAACGACCTCGCTTGCCGTCGTTTGCGTCGAACGCCAAGTCGCCGTCCAAGAACTCGACCAAAAGCTCGCTTGGCGGTCCGCGTCGTATGACCTCGGCTTCGTCGTTGGGCGGCAAGAGCGAACAGTCTGGCAGGTCAAGCTTGAGCGAGCTTGCCAGGCGTTCCTTCTCGCAGGCGAGGACGTTGCTGTTGGTGCCTTCGCCTCGATCAGCCGCTCGACGATCTGTCGCGGGCGATGACACGACTCGTCCCGCGGCTGTCTTCCTTCAGCCCATCAACACGGGTGTCATCAGCCGACCTTGCCAGACCACTCCGAACCCCGTGGCGAGCACGCGATCCAACTCGATGACCATGACGTGCTCGACCACCAACACGATCGAGGGGAGCTCGGTGCGATACCCGTCCTTCTACCTCGGCACTTCTTCCGAGAGCGGATCCGTCACCGGCGGCAGCAGCGGTAACAGCAGCGGTGGTCGCAGCTGGGAGTCCACCGCACCCGAGTTGGCAGCGCTCGAAGAGTTGGTCTTGACCGAGTGCAAGTATCTCGCCGACTTGCAGCTGCTTCTCGATGTCTACGTCGAGGGTCTGCGCAGGCTCGACCTGATCACACCAGCTTCGCTGGAGAAGATCGTGTCGAACCTGGACGAAGTGATGGTCTTGTCCAAATTCCTCATCGACACGGTTCGCGAATACTTGCCGAGACGCATGTCGCCTCCGACATCCATCTCGTCGCAGCCCGGTAACAGCGACAGCTCGAGCCGTCCGCACGCTCCTCCTGCCAACAGGCCCTTGCTGAGCGAACCGGACTACCTTGGTCTGAGCTCCAAACTCGTCAAGGAGCTTCCGGCGCGGATGGAGGTATACGCGAGATACTGTGTATTGCACCACGAAGCCAAGGAGCGACTGGCATTCGAGCGTGATCTGAGGCCTGCCGTGGCCACGTTCATCGAGCTGACGAGGAGCACCAACCCTACACTGCAAGGGATGGACATGGATCAGTTCCTCGTACTTCCTGTACAGCGAGTCACTCGATACCCGCTGCTGTTCGGCTGCCTTGCCAAGGAGTGCGGCAAACGACGCAGCGAGAGCGACGAGCTGAGGGAAGAGGACGAAGATACCGACATGGCGGCTTACAACGTACAGCGACAAGGACGAGCCGACGCTATCTGCAGCAACTGGACACGCCTACGCGATGTAAGCGCTTCCATCTGCGGTCTCACCAACCTTGCCATCTCGTACCAGCAACACTCCGCGCGACCAGACACTACGAGATCGCGTCCCAGGCCTTCGATGTCGGTGTCTTCGCCTTTGCTGTCATCGCCATCCAACGCTGCACGATTCGGACCGATGCAGACGTCGACTCCGCCGCCTCCTGCCTTGGTGATGCGGGAACAAGGTTCGTCACCGAGACCGGCTCCCCCTTTGACAACACAGGAAGCAAAGCCGCGATTGCCTGCTTTCTGGCGCAGATCGTCGACAAAAACGTCTGACAAGACCCAGACCGACTCGACCGGAGTCTCGAGCACCTCGTCCGAGTCGTCGGGCGGATCGTCGAGCTCGCTCTTGACGCGCTTTGTCAAGGCGTTCCGTCATCCTGCTCCCTGAGCGCGTGTTCACACAAATACCAGATACAATGCACACTTTTGTACACTCTTTTCAGGATTTGAGTTGTCTGTCTGAATTGCGACACGAGATCACGCTCTCTTTCGCCAAAAGTGGGCAGCAAGAGCTGCAACGGTGGCAAAGGACATGGATGTGCCGACAAAGATGATGAGGTCGCGGAAACCGTTGATGCCGTAGTCGCCCCCACGAGGATGCTCTGTGACGACCGAGGGGCGATAAAGGGCCGAGCCGATAAGCGGACCCGAGACTGCGGCGATGCCGCGGATGAACATCCATGCGAGGAATTGCAGAGCATTGTCCGAGTTGGTGATCGTGCTTACATCTCTTGCGATCGGCGTGATGAAGCAGCCGAAGCCTCCGCCTGCAGCGCCGAAGGTAAGAACGAACACCAGCACGATGGCCAGTGACGTTGCGAATCCAAACAGCAGGAGAGCGGTGATAGCACACAGCGACGTGGATACCGCCATGGCCAAGGTGAAAGACAGCTTGTCAATAGCAGGACCCGTGATGAGATAACCGATGATGGCCGAGGCATTGAAGGCGGAGAGAATGCCCGTCGAAACGGTCGAGTTGAAGCCCAGAGCCGTGGCATAGGTCGCGATGTAGAGCGAGACAATGTACCAGCCGAATGCTTGGAGCATGATGACCACGAACTGGCATGCAGAAAGAACGGTATCAAGGAACGACATGTCAGTGAGAGCGCGATTCACAACTGACTTTGGGTCCTGGGACAACTCACGTAGATCATAGCTATGGGACTGAGCAATGGGCGAAGATCTCCAGGATAGATGAGACGGAGGAGCTGCTTTGCAGAGGCGCGAGGCACTTTGGCAGGTGCTTGCTGCGGAACACGAGGCTTGAGCAAGTACAGAGCCGTGCCGTTCAGTAGCAATTGAGCGAGTGCCCAGACTCGCATTGTCCAAGCAAAGCCGACCGAGGTCAGAAGCGCGTTAAGTACCAAAGGAAAGACAACGCCGCCGACGCCCGAGCCCATGAAGATGACGCTGGTTGCAAAGCCTCTTCTCCTGTCAAACCATTGGCCAAGATAGAGGACGACGGGAGTGAGCAGAACACCGCTGGTAGTTCCGAAAAAGACACCCTGAAAGACAATGAGCATGGCGATCGACTTTGAGAAGGACGCGATGAGGATCGACAAAGCGCTCAGCACAAGGCTGACCATGACCATGGTACGGTGAAGATGCGGATAGGCTGAAGTGAAACCTCTGAGAAGCAAGGGGATGAAGTGTTGGCAGCCAATGACTAATGTCCCGACGGCTGATATGCTAGTAACACTTCGTCCGTAAAAAGGTGATTGAGGATTGTGCTCGTGGTAATCCTGAAAGCTTCCGTATGAGTAGGCAATACCCCAGACCATGGACCAGATAACGAAGCCACATGCTAAGAATCGCCACGCTGCTGGTCCGCTATCCATTGGCGGTAGTTCGGAGCCCGAAGAGTGCTCATTGGTTGATGAGAAAGAAGGCCGCCCTGACTGAGCTGACGGTGGATATGTGCCAGTGAGGATCGGAGGCGTTGGCGGTGCCTCGTCATCGCTGGTTGCTTTGCTGTCCAAGTGCTTATCGCGGAGCTCCTCTTGCTCGTCTTCCTCCTCTTCGACGATGGCTCGTGATGAAGATTTGTTTTGCTCTGCTATAGGCCCCATACTGGCGCGAAAGTCGATGGCTTCGGACGCATCTGTGTTGGAAGATCTACTTGGACGCCGCTGTTGGAGACGTGAAGTCGACGCGTTGCTTCCAGCAAGAGTCGTGCGACTGGAGCTGGAGCTGGTGCCGTGATGCGGATGTAGTGACATGTTGAGAGAGGCTTGTCTTGTCCGAGTCACCACAGCTCTTGCTGCCGTTGGTATTGTCGAACGATGCGAGATAAGCTAACTAGGATCAGAGGGCTCTTCTATATAAAATTTCGTCGCGAAATTTGAGAAACCGGCGAAAGTATCGGCCAGAAACGCGGTGAATTCCGTGCGATGACTCCGCCGGCACGGTGATGTTCGATGCGGATGAAAGTAATCCCGCCTCGCTGACCCCGCATTCACTTTGAGCTCCCCGCATCGATGACCACCCACTTGATACATGGATGGGTCCCGGTCAGCAACATTGATCCAGCTGACCTCCATCTTCCACTCCATTTGCCCGCGATCATGACGGACTCGTTCAAAAAGACTATCCTGTACAGAGAATATCCCGAGGTAGCACAGCTCGTCACTCGGCTGCACGAGCTGTCCGAGCAGCAAGATGCGCAAGGAACGGGCATCTCGTCGCTCAACGGTCAGAATGTGCAGACGCGCGATTTCAGCATGTACAAGCACAAGATGGTCGCGCTCGAGCAGGACAAGTCGGAGCTGATATATGCGGTACTGCGCAACAAGAAGGCTCGACGCATCTTTGAGGCTGGCACGTCGTATGGTGTTTCAACCATCTACCTTTTGTTGGCTTCGCAGGCGGCTGATGCCAAGCTGAGCAAGAAGGATGGGCCTCCTGCTATGGTGTGGGGTACCGAAAAGGAAGAGCACAAGGCCGATGCTGCAATGGAAAACCTTGCAGAAGCCATGAAGCTACCAGACGGGACCAAGGACATCCCCGGCTTCACCATGCTGAGGGGCGACATTCTCGAGTTGACGGAGAAAGCCAACATCGAGAGCGAGAGCCTGGACGCGGTGCTGTTCGACATCTGGGCGGAGAGTGAGTATACCTTGTCGACAACAATGCAGTTGAGCAGCTGCGGAAGACCTGATCCGGATACTGACGCTGATCCTTGTCCTTGTGTGTGTTGCCATTCAGTGGCTCTGCCGACCTTCAAGCTGCTGGAAGCCTCGCTCAAGCCGGACGCGGTGATCTTCATCGACAATTGGCTCACCGGCATCGAGATTGGTACGTACGCCAAGCTGCACGAGTACCTCGAGTCCAAGGGATGGTACACTGTTGCTCTGCCGTTCAAGAACGGTCTTGGTATGGCGACACGAGTTGCCTCGTCGTAGCTTCACTAGTCAATGTTACAGCTCTGTCGATGCGAATTGTGATGCGCGAAGAATGCTAGACCCTGGACCCTGGGCGCGTGAAATTGCCCCACTGAGACAGATTGTGATTCCTTAAATCCGGCTCGAGTGGGATGCCAAATAGCCGCCTCCGCCATTGGAAGCCTGCCTTTGGTCGCGGTCGCTCGCCGTAGTGTTTCTCTGAACTGCCATCATCGTGATCACCGAGAAGCTAAATCTGATCGTTGACGTCACACCACGCATCGCAACCATGTCTGCGCACAACACAAGCAAAGCCACCGATACCAGTTCCTCCTCTGCGCCAGCGCGCTCGGCCGAGTGGGATGAGCTGCATCGCACTCTGAACTCGACCGGAGATGCGATTCGTCGTCAAGTGGTGGGAGAAGAGTACGTCAACCGAGCCTTGGCCAACGCCAGCGAGTTTATGATGCCGATGCAGCAGCTCGCAACCGAGTACGCGTGGGGCGGCATCTGGTCTCGACCGGGTCTGGCACGACGCGATCGCAGCATCCTCAATCTGGGCATGCTGGCTGCTCTGGGCAGGTCGACAGAGTTGACAACGCACGTGCGAGGTGCGCTCAACAACGGAGTCACCGAGATCGAGATTCAAGAGTGTCTGCTGCAGGTGGCGACGTACGTCGGCATGCCAGCAGGGCTGGAGGCGTTCAGGGCGGCCGACAAAGCGGTGCAAGAGTGGAAGTCGACCAACGCCGGCGCCTCGAAAGTCGAGCAAAAGTAGGTTAGGACGTTGGCGAGGCCGTTCGCCACTGGCATGGGATGCGAGCATCGTCGTCGTTGTGAATGAGCTCGCGAGCTCTAGGAGACAAGCTCAAGGAAGCATCGTGTCAGCCAACTGAGGCATACTGTGCTGTACAGTAGCATGGCAGCGAAGAGGTCGGCCTGATCGCCATGTTCAAAAATCGAGATCGGACGTCGCGATCGGGTGCTTGTCCACCGTGACGGGGTCGCGGCTCATGTGACGCGCCAAGTCAATTTTCTTTTCTTTTGCATCACAAAACGACTTTGTTCGATTGCATTTTGCACGCTGCAGTTTGTGTGTGTTGAGAGGCCCTGCTCCCCAGGCTGGGTCCGTACAATATGTGAGATTCGCGACGAACCGAGCCTCGTCCAGCGGATGCCTTTCCGACCGCAAGTCGGATCGACCGAAGAGCGAAACAAGGCAAAGCCTTGCGCAGAAAGGAGCAGCGAGAGTGTGGGAACTCGAATAGATTCAGCTGAGAAGAAAGGGGAGAGACGAGGGATGGCACTTGAGCAGAGTAAGCATTTGGCTTCGGAGGAGAGCGCTTCGGACAAGGTCGAACGAAATCTGCATGAAGACAGAGGAATTTCATTCCCGTCTGTCAACCCACACTCTGCCGAGGTGCCCGTGCATACAGTCACGTCAAAGCGCGCCCCGCGTCATCACAGCGGACCCTGTCAGTTGATTTTTCCAGCTGTCACACACGCCCAGCTCACGCAGTTGTCCGTAGCCGAGGACCTCCTTTTGACAGATCGGTTCAACCGCTCCTCCTCACTCTCGTCTTGGTCGGAGCTCTTCCTACAGAGATGCCGAGCTCGGGCGGCGTTTCGAATACGGTTGAGATGAAAGACGAATGCCGTGCTGGCGAATGTGTCTGCGAATGGACACAGTCGACGTGGCGCAACTTCTCAGAGCCGAACAAAGGGAGAGAGAGAAGCGGCAAATTTGGTCAAGGTTTCGAAACAGCAGAAGGTCGGCATGAGCTCAGAACGAGCTGGGGCAGATGCACACAGGCATGATGCCAGCGACCGCCTCGTCTTTGCGACTCTACATCTCCTGGGCTCTTCCCTGTTCCTTCGGGCTCCGCAACCATCGGAAGCTGCGGCGACGGATCGCAAAGTTCGTTTTCTGTAACTTTGCTGCAGCGCCGCGAAACTTTGATCATTTGCTGTCAAGTCCTCGTCGTGTCATCGGCGACGGCGCTTCCGAAGCTCAGCTGCGCCTCCACAGCCTGTCACCGCTCGGATCAGCCGCTGGCAATACGCTGCGTCTCTGCGTATGCGTCCCTTTCGGCTGTACCTTCGGCAGCTCCGCTTTGTGACTGTCTGCGCAAGCACCCCAATTTCGCAGCTCTCCAATCTGCTTGTTCTTGGCCGTTAGCACCCCCTAATCTGACTGTGCTGCTGAGTCGCTGTTCTCCTACTGCGGAGCCGTGATGCACGCGGAAGACTCTGTGTGACGATGAAGCTCTTGGTCAAACAAGCAAGGCGACTGTATGCGGTGCTGGCTGCGAGGTTATAAAAATTAGCCGCCCTAGCTCGGCTGTCTGTCCGTTCCGGTTCTCACAATTCTCTCTCTGTCATCTCGCATCCGCTCTTCCGCATACACTCAAGGCACTTTCCTACGCGCCTTTCTAGCCAGACTTGCTCGCGCTCACCATCACCTCTCTTCTCTTGCACCTCCATCAACCTCTCCGCCTCACTTCTTACTCCTTCATCCTTTCATTTCGGGCTGGTCCCTTCTCTTTCTTCTTCTTTGGTTCCACATCCCTCCTTCGTCTTTTGCAACAATGGCTTCCCGCAACTCGAACGCGTCTCTATCACTTTTCCAGCTCGTCGCGCTGGTCGCGGCCGTTTCCAGTCTCTTCGTCGCCGTGGTCGATGCCCACGGATATGTCACCTCCCCTGCTTCGCGCGCCTACATGTGCAAGCAAGGATCGGCCAAGGACTGTGGCGAGATCCAGTACGAGCCACAGTCGGTCGAGGCGCCCAAAGGTCTTCCCTTCAGCCGCAGCGGTGATGGCAAGCTCTGCTCAGCTGGTCTGAGCCAGTTCTCCCAGCTCGACCGTCAGGGCAAAGGCGCTTGGCCCACGACCAAAACCAACAACATCAAGTCCTTCTCCTGGACTTTCACCGCACAGCACGCCACCACCGACTTCAAGTACTACATCACCAAGGCTAACTGGGACTCGTCCAAGACCGGCGGCCTTTCGTCCAGCGACTTTGAGTCTAGTCCCTTCCTCACCGTACCCATGGGCGGCAAGCCTCCGTCCGCCTCGGAGACCCATGACCTCTCCCAGGCTTTGCCATCGCGTTCCGGCTACCACGTTGTCTACGCTGTGTGGACCGTCAGCAACACCGAAAATGCCTTTTACCAGTGCATGGACCTCGACTTTGCCGGCAGCAACAGCAATACTGGTGGAGGTTCGTCGCCCAGCGCTTCTACTCCATCGCCTTCTGCCACCTCCACGGCGGTCAGTCCCAGCGGAACGGCATCCGGCAAGTCTCCTACCTCGCCTTCTTCTGGCTCCACCTCTTCCGGTTCCGATGATGACAACGGAGACGACTCTGGCGATGCCAATTCTAGTGATGGCTCTAGTGGTAGCTCCAGTGATGTCAGCGATGTCTCCAGCGATAACTCTGGCAACGCTTCGTCCTCTGACGACAGCGGGAGCTCTGGCGCGACTACTCCCAAGCCTAAGAGCCACGCCTCGCAGGGCAGCAGTTGCCGCATGAGGAAGCAACGACGTGCCCCGAGCGCTTCCGTGCTTGCTGCTCGCGGCGATTACCGACGTCGCAAGGCCCACATGCGCCGCGCCCAACACATCTGAACGTTTACCAAAAAGCACTGATGGCCTCCATCTTTCCGAAAGCAGACTGGATCTGCCTCGAAATCGTGTCGAACGGCCACCTCTAGAAACCCCACAGCTGGCCTGTCAAAGACGTTCGCCCCTCTGAGCCGGTCTCAAGAGAGAGTTGTAGAAGCATCTTGCCAATCGCATTGAAGCATTTCATCTTTCCGCATACATGTTCCCCATTTCCCACTTTGCATTTTTAGATCTTCAACATTCAATCCACTGTATTCTTTCAACTTCGCTTTCGTCCCACTTCCAATCTCATCATCCTTTATCCACCCGATCTCCTCCTTCTTCGAAGTGTACGACTTCTCCATTGAAACGCTCAGATCGACAGCCTCGTCACATTCAACACGGACAGAGCTGCGCCAAGCGATGTGGGAAACGACGAAGGGCCGATCGTTCATGCATTGCGGTATCGACTTCGGACTCAACCTCTACCCGTGCTTGCGGCTGCAACACCCGTCGTATTCTGCTGCGGCTGCGACATGCTCTTGAAGTTGCGCTTGTGCTTCCTCGCGGCCTCTCTGTGGCGCTTCTTGATCACCTGCGTCAGGGACTCCTTGTACTTGGCCCAGTCAGCTTCTCTCTCCTCTTGCGATCTGGGCTTGAGCCAGCGCTGGACGGATCCTTGGCTATCTGCGCCGTTCCACGAGGCGCTGTTGGAGGAAGAAGGGAAGAAGGGCCCGAGTCGCTTGGGTTGCTCTTGCTGCTCGGCCGTCACAGTAGTAGGTGCGGGTGGGAATCGCGAGGAGCCAGTATGAGACCAGGGAGAAGCTCCGGGGAAGGAATCGACCTGTGGTTCTGGTTCATCTTGCTCCTCTTCGAGTTCAAACTCTAGACCGAGAGAATCCATCAGCGAGAACCCGCCGCCAGTGTCGCCCGAGGTGCCATCAGCACCCAGACCCAAGCTGAAGCCGGCAGTGACGGCAGATGTCGAAGGTCGATCTTGCGGCCTGAACATCTCCTTCAACGTCGACATCGAGACTTTGGTCCCGGCATCGCCGTCCTTGCTTGCTTGCACAGTGGTTGGCGTTTGCTCGGGGACAGCTGCTGCGGTCGGCGCGGGTTGCGAAGCCTCAGCTGCGGAAGCATCGATGTCGACGGCAGCTGCAGCGAGGCGCGTGCCAGGGTCGAAACGAGCGATGGGAACGAAGCTGCCCGTCTGCGGGCTTGACTCGGAAAGTGAAGAGAGGAACGCTGCTCGGCGAGATTTGGCATCCAGAGGAGCGGCGGCTACAGCTGCTGCTTCGACGACCGCTTCGGGCTCATCGGCCATAGGCACGTCTTGCTCTTCTGCTGCCTCACCCACCACCTGGACTGCTTCGGGCACTTCTTCTTCTTCTTGTTCGACAGGCATTTCCTCGTCATCCGCCTCGCTGGTTGAGCTGGAACTCGACTCAGACGAGGAGAGTTCCTTATCAACCTCGGGTTCGTTGTTCGAATCTGAGCTAGACTCTGTCTCAGAGTCGGAGGTGACCTCCAACTCGACTTTGTCCTCCAGTGGCACCTCTTTATCCTCTACCACATTCTCAGTCGATGCTTCGTCGTCTGATCCGGACCCAAACATCTCGCCCAACAGCGCAAGCGTCTTTTTGCGCTCCTCTTCCGCATCCCCTGCCTGCTTGATGGCCGGCACGGGACCTGCTGCTGCAACCTCGTCGTAGCCGTCCGAGAAGTTGGCAGGATCATCCTCTTCTGGATCCAGGCCGGGTACGAACGACCCTTTGGTCTTCTTGATTGATGTGGGCGTGGCAACGACGACCTTGTCCACCTTTGTGCGGTTTGCTTCAGGTGCCGATGTGGGGATGGAAGGGAAATCCGAGAACAGATCGTCGACGTTGGTGTTTGCGGTACCAGAGGCTGGGAAAGAAGAGAAGAGGTCGTCGATGTCTGTCGAGTCGACCACGGTGTTGGCATTGCTTGCAGAGGATCGAGCGTGTTCTCGCGGCTCGGATTGCTTTTGAGTCGGGACGATGGACGAGGTGAAGCCGGAAAAGAGATCGTCGTCGCTGCCTGCGTTTGAGAATTGGTCAAAGTCGAGGTGTGCCATGACGTCGTCTGTGACACCATCGTCGAGCGCATCCGGAACAGTCGACTTTCTCGACACAACGCGGACTGGAATCTTGGTAAACTCCTCGTGCAACACCTTGCCGTCCTTTGCGATGTACTGCCAGCGCACGAGACGGTGATCCTTCTCGTCGCTTGCGAGAGCATCATCACCATCGTCGATCTCCTCACAGCGCCATTCACCTGGCCCGAGCGATGAAGCATCAAAGGCGTCGGTGGACGATCCCGTCTCTGCGGCAAGCGACTCGAGCAGTGAGCCAGACAGATGGACTGCGCCATAGCGAGTGGGATCGATGGTGATCCGATGTGCTTTGGTAGGGGGACGAGGGTTGACGCGTGCGCGTCTGCCGGAGGAACCGGGTTGGTCTCCCTCCTCGTCCTTTTCGTTCTCGATCTGATTTGCTCGTGTCAAAGTGGAAGCACGAGATGGTTTTGGTAGTGGATGGGTGGGTCGCATGCGCAATGGACGAACAAGGTGACCTGCAGGTGTACGTCTCCATCCCCAGGCCAAGCCGTTCTCGACGAGATCTTGGTCGACTAGATCCATGTGCGGGCTTTCGAAGGCCATACCTGGTGGCAGACGTTTGGGCTTCTTTGGCTTGTTGACTTCCTCCTCTTCTTGTCGTTTGCGCTTGTCGTTTTCGAGCTGGATGCGTTGTTGAAAGTCGGGTTTGGCTTCACCAATGCGGAGCGTTGCGCCCTTCCACACAGATCCGGACAGGAGGTTCATGCAGCGCTGTATCTGCTGTGGTGGTGCTTGCAGGGTCAAGTATGCGTACGGTCGGAACTGCCCCAGCGCATCGCGTTTGCCGAGACCGTCGAGGGCGACGACGGTACCGAAAGTCGAGAAACGACGCTCTAGGTCCTCTTTCGAGAACGAGGCTGTGAGCCCCGAGATGTGGAGTCTTTTGTGCGAGACATTTTCTTCCTTGTGTGGATCACTCGTTTCTTCTGCTTGGCCTGTTGTAGATGGAATAGGAGGAGCGGAGGGAGGTGAAGATGGTGTCAGCAGGTTGATCGCGGTATCGCCAGGATGCGAGAGAGGAGGGTTGGGAGAGAGACTCGCATTGGCCTTAGCTTTGTTGACGCGGCGGGAGGAAGGTGGAAGAGCCTCTACACTGGAAGGTGCAGTGGGAGACGCACCATTTGGTTTTGGTTTCCTGGGTGCCGACGACGATGCAACGGCGGTGGCCTTTTCGAACGCCTCCTGCTCCGGATCGAACGACTCGACGACGACGTGGGTATGATGCTCGTCCGAGTCGTACTCTTCCTCTTGGATCTGCGGGACGGCATCCTCGCCATCGAGCTGTTGGTCGTCGTCCGAATCGGCAGCTGCGTCGAGATCGGACTCGCCCTCGGCTTCGAGACCGAACGCCTTTCTCTGCTCTCGAACGTTTTCTGCTGCCTTTTCCTTGCGAGCATCGCGAAGCTCTTTGCGCGCAACGAGCTGCTCCTCTTTGGCCTTCTTTGCGAGGTAGTCTCGACCAGCCTGCTTTCGTTCCTGCTTACGTTTTCGGAATCCGGTCAGGTACTCGGCGCGTGCCTTGTCGTCGAACACGAGCTCGGGGCCTTTACCCTTTCGTCCACCTTTTGACGCCATTGTTGAGGCTGTTCGAGCGATCACCGGGGTATAATGTGTTGGTGCTGGTGGGTGATGGGTGACGGTAAGAGGAGGAAGGTGAGTAGGAGATGCGAGCGACGCTTGGCTGAGCCTCTGTTGCCTCGAAATTCTCCCATTTCCCTTTCTGTCGAGCGCTTTTTTTTTCTTCGCTGATTTCCAAATTTTGGTTTCTGTAGATTTCCGATTTCCGAGTTGCCAAGCTTTCAAATACTGAAAGCATTGTCAGATCCCAGGCTCGGAAGGTCCCAGGAAATCGGCTCACTTCGGCCCGGCGTTGCTATCAAACAAGGCCATCTGTCTAATAACAGCCGAGGCAAGCGGTAGTGCATGCATGCGCAGCCATTTCCAACGGAGACAGAGTCAACTGACTCGTCTGCACTGTTGTGACCCTGTGCGGATCAAAGGGAACGGTATCGTTCACGGGACTGCGAGACCCCGCATCGATGTAAGCGAGCTCACAAGGCGGCTACTGTAGCTAGCTGTTCGGCAGTGCTCAGACCACGAGTGAACTCCATTCTTGGCGCTTCTCCCACCAGGGACGAAAAGAAGCGGAGCAACAAGGTTATTCTGCTGCAACTGCCGCATCAGCCGCAAGTGCCAAGGACCGCACCGCGGCTTTTGGGCCGAACAAGCCACATCGTATAAGAAGCAACGTTGCGCCCCCTCATACCCTACATCGTCGTCTCAACAAGAAACCTCATTACCCCGTTGCAGCAGCGATGACATCTACAACCGACTCTACCGCCCACATTATGGGTTGTGGCAGATACCTCCGCGAGCTCGATCCGGAAGAATCCTCGTTCCGTTATGCTGTCGACCCAACATGGTATCCGCAACGCCTCACTGCGCGCGAGGTAGCTATGCTCAACATCATGGACGCTCTCACCGAAAAGCAAGATTGGCATCGCAAGATTCAAGATCCAGACATTGTTTCCAAATGGCAGACTGAAGCACTCGAGCAGTCTCCCATCATGTCCCAAAAGGCTTTCGACTGGTGCATCTTCGAGCTCAAAGACAAGGCCGAGTGGCTCCAACGCACCGGCATGATCCGCACGCTTGACACACACAACCGTTGCATCAAGTCCGACACATTGCTCACACCCGACTTTTTGGACAGCTTGAAGAACGCTACAAGGCCTTTGCTTGAGCAAGAGCCAAAGGATTGGCATCCTCGTTCCAACGACCAAGTATTGGATCTTGTTCATCCTTCGCTGTACCCGCTCGTGTATGGCAAAACCCACTACCTTGCACAGGGCAGCGTCAATCTCGATGCTTGGCATCAGGCTACTCAAGGTACGCCTTTTCCGGAGCAGGCTAAACCGCCACCCGAAAGGAGAGGGTTCAGAGCGTTCGCCACAGATCCCACCACATTGTATTCTGATCGCTTCCAATGGCTGCCTTGCGACGTCGCCTTCGAAGGTGAAATTGGAACCAACGTGTCGATCCGCTCCTACATCAACAATCTCGAGCCTACCGCCAACAGTGTTCTCTACACACTCATCGAGCAAGCCATCTCTTTGTCGATCGAGCCTTGGAACCAGGTACTCGTCTACGGTTCTAAAGGAAGGACCCCTCTACGAATCGAATGCACGCAAGTGGAATGGGAGCCAGAGGATCAACCTGAATGGCTCTCCGAGCCGGAATGGGATACCACTGACGACGACCTGGACCCCGACACACGAGTCAAGATCGACGAACTGCTCGCCACCCCCGACGATCCAGAGTTGGTCAAATACATGGGGCCCTTTGACCTTGACGAAGCCATGGCAAAAACAGACGACAGCCTCTTGTGGATTGCTAGGGAGAAGTTCAACCACACTCGACGCATTGTCCATCCCGAGCCAGGTGACGAAGATGCCTATCAGGAATGGCGTGATAGATTGAGCGGAACGTACAACGCGCTTCTCGACCCAGACATGGCCTACAGTCAAGATTGCTATGAGCTCCATCTCGAGCAGAGCTACCGCGACCGCGGCTTGCAGGTCATCGTCAAGCTTGCCAGCATTGAACTGACTCCGGACAAGCCGCAATATGCCGGTGGAAACTGGCATGTCGAAGGGATGATGAACGAGCACATTGTCGCGACATCCATCCTCTACTACGACGTCGAGAATGTCACGACGGCTCGCATTTCTTTTCGACAGAACGCCAACTTGGACGACGAGGAAATGGAATACGAGCAGGACGATCACGGTCCCTTCTGCGTGGTTTTCGGCACAGACTCGCTCCGGGACGAGGCCAAGCTGCAACAGCTCGGAAGCGTTGCAACCCCCAATGGCAGACTGCTTGCCTTCCCAAACACTTTGCAACATCGAGTCGAGCCGTTCGAGTTGATCGACAAGAACAAGTCGGGTCATCGACGCTTCCTGGTCCTCTGGTTGGTAGATCCAAACTATCACCTTCCGAGCACATCCATCGTCCCACCTCAACAGCAAGGCTGGTGGTCGACAAAGCTCGGTTCAGACGCCTCATTGCAAGGTCGCGGTCTTATCACGCTCGACGAAGCCAAGGCTCTCAGACTCGAGTTGATGGACGAACGCACGAAAGGAGAGCAGGCTACGGCAGGTGCTACCGAGGAATATAATTTTTGCGAGCATTAGACAAGTGCGTTACACGCCATGCTTTTCGATAAATTCCGTTCTATCGACATTCTCTGTCTCTTTGTTCGTAATCTCGACCTGACAAATCTCGTTGTAGTGATCACCTTGATGGTCTTGCTGCTGGACGAGAGTGAAAGTTGTTGTGTGAGATGTCGAGGCTGAAGCGCATTCAAGGTTCTCCTTGGCAAGTTTGGTTCCGATGGTGCAATCACTGAAACAAGGCGACGCAGCGTACGGCAAGCAAGCCACATCTTGTCCGCCCTCCTCCACGCCCTACCAACCGTCCGGGTTCTTGGCAGAGCAACCAGTCAATATGGAGGTGAGCAATGCCTAGATTTGCAAATTTGTCAAAGTAATCTGGGTACATATCTCCTAGCCTCGCTCAAGTCCATATTTTTCTTCGCCTTCCATCATCACTGTCTTCGTTGCTAGACTGGTCACCGCCTAGCCCGCGAATTTTTCCCTCCCTGTACTCCATCCCCTAGCTCGCTCGTTCTTGCGCTCGTTCAGCTCCCTTGAAGGCGGGCAGGGAGCCTCGTCGAGCTTGGAGGCCTCACACCAGGCCTTCAGACGCGATCGATTATCTTGTCAACACAGCGAGTGACGCTTCGGCCGGACGCAGATACACGCGAGCGAGATGTATTGGCGATGTGAAGTGCTGAGTGACTTTTGCTGGATTGAGACATCCGACAAATACAGTAGCGCGGCAGGAACACAGGGAGGGGATGTTCAAGTTGCGCACTGCGAAGAAATTGTGACAAAGATAAGTGTGACGACTAGAACCGCACAGAATGATTTGATCGAGATGATCATGATGACGTTTTTTGTCTTGCCCCTCACTTACTTGCGGGGTCGAGAGCGTACGAAGACCATGCACGCAGCCTGGGTCCGTACTTGTAAAGCAACAGCGGGATGGGAGCCATGACCAAAGAAATGCAACCGATCAAGAAGCATCCCCATGCGACTGGAAATTGAACGGGCCCATTTTTCTGCAGATTGCTGAACATGGCATGGCCAACCTGTCATCATGGAAAGGGTGAAAACTTTTTCTTGAGCGACCTGAGGACCAATGTCATTAAGGCATGAGGCGAGGACTTACCAAGGGCAAAGCAGCACCAATGCCAGACCGGAAGAAGTCGTTGCCGCTAAAAACGCTGGCGAGATAGTCCGGGTAGCAATCCGCAAGATATGCCAAGCCGCATTGGAACAATGGGAAAGTGCCGATAGCGAAGAAGGCGGAAAAGATGATGGGTACGATCCAATGAATGGAACGATTGGCTGTCCATCCAAACCCGAACATGCAAATTGGGATCGCCCAAGCAGCAACGATAGCTGGCTCGAGCCACTTTTCGGGGCCCACCTTGCCCTTTTTTTCGACGTAAAGGGGTACGTACGAGTACTTGACCCAGAGACAGAACGCTGAGTAGGCCAAGATTGCGCCAACGATGATGCCAAAGAAGGCCAAACCCTGCTCACCCAGGTTGAAACCGTACGTTTCCACAAATACGATGGGAAAGCATTCGAACCAGAGGTACAGGATACCGTAAACAAGGCCAATGTGAAGATTGATGCCGAGAACGATGGGCTCGGTGAAAGAGAGTACGAAGGGTCGCACAAATGTCATGAGGGCAATCTCCTTGCCTGTAAGGTGAGCGATCATCATCTCACCCTTGGTGCGCAGATGCATGTTATTGGTGATTTGTCGTAAACGCTTGCAACGTCGAAAGAGAATGTTTGAGGACGAAGTTTCTGGCAAGGCGACGACAAGGACGATGAGAGTGAATCCAGACAACATCAGGAGTGGCCAGATGGTCCATCTAAAACCTTGAACGCCGTAGTGTTGGGCTGCAAAACCGCCAATGACCGGACCAAGGACAGGACCGAGAATGGCTGAGATCCCCCAAGCACCCATGGCGAATGGCCGAGTCGTAGGCTCGAACATATCTCCAATACTTGCACCGCCAGTAGCAAGAGGCGGAGAACCGAACAGACCAGTAAGAAAACGTAGTACCATCAAGCCAGCTATGTTACTAGTCAGGGCCGTAGGGATCTGTAGAATGAAGAAAAAGAAGAGCGTGATCACGTAGGGAAGAGTTCTGCCAATGGCTGGGATCTCGGAGGCGGCTGTAAGACCGAGCATAGGACCAGTGCCATAGCCTACTACGAAGAGAGTGAGTCCGAGAGTAGCCGTGACAGTGCCGACGCCAAAGTAATCAGCAATGAGAACAATCCCAGGAGTGTAAATGGCCGAGCCAAGGTAGACGGAGAAAGTGAGCAAACACACGAGGCCAGTTACGAATATCTTGCGTTCCGGGCTCCAGTTGAGCGGGTTCTGCGGATCATCCGGTCCACTCCAGTGCACAAGGTAAGGATCTTCTTCTTTGTTCATGTCGTTCGGAGGAATTTCGAGATTGTTTCCTTCCTTGATCGCGCCCGTTCCGTCTTTCTGGAATGAGACATTGTTCTGAGAAATGTCCTCCGGACTAGTTGGCTGTCCCTGTTCTGCCTTTCCGAGATTCCCGTCCAAAGAGGGGCCGCGGACAGATAAAGATGTTGACGATGAGATCGGCTCGTGTTGTCGAAGCTGCTGCTGTGAAAAGAGCTTGGACTTGTATCCTGGCAGGTATTGCTCGGGCACAAAGCTGACTCTCTGTTCAAGGTGAGGAAAGTATTTGCCATAAGAAAGCTTGTTGATCAGCCGAGCCCAAATGGTGTCCTGGTACCAAGGAAGACTCTCGACCGTATGGTGTTTTTGCTGCCGCATTGTTCGAAAGAGGCTCAAGAAAGCTCTGGGAGGGAGATGTATGGGAACGGTGAGCCGGACTGAACTGGGGTCGATTCAAATCACTCGACTATATACCTAGAGACTCAGAAGATGGTATCAGTGCCCAAGCTCGACGAAGAAAATGTAGCATCGACACCAAGGTTCTCACTGCTCAGTGCAAACCTCAGATGTACCATTCGAAGGGACATTGTGACTTGGAGGACAGCGGATAACCTTCTCCTCTACTGCACAGACGATTCGAAGGGTCAAGTCGGAGTAAGGATACCGGGATACATGGGATGCAAGACGTCTTTTGCATCATCAACACGCAGCAACGAAAGTGTGCGGTGGATCTCAAGTCAAACGTTTCTACTTGATGACAGCGGACTAAGCGATCCGGTATCTGATAAACATGCAGCAACGAAGGTGCATTTGTCAATACTTGCGTTAGGCCGTTCGCGCGGTTGCCCCCGAGTCAAACAGTCTCGCGAGTTTACCTGATAACAGCGGAATAAGCGATCCGGTATCTGATAAACGCGCGTCAAAAATTTCAAGTTCGTCACTAGTTCAGATTACCAGTTTTAATATATAATAAATGACAAATGCAGTCGGCAGACTACAAGCAACATGAAACAAAGTTTGCAGCGGAATAGGTTCTGTCCCCCCTCTTGGTCGTAAAGGCTGTCTGGCAGGCTGAGACAGCGCTCGTAGCCCTCCGATGTACATCAGCTAATATCATAGAGCGAGACTGGGAGCGACACACGATGGTCAAATGGTCAAAGCCTGTCAGGGCCACCCGAAATCTGCGTCAAAGTCTGGCACGAGACTTTTTATACTTTGCAGTCCCACCTCCATCTGACATCTCATCGCGACCGAGCATCACTGTTTGTCGAACTCGAGTTAATCCGTTACGTTCAGCTTCATCGTTTCCCGTGGAAAACGTCACACGTCCGACTTCAGCTCACGTATCAAATGCAGGTCCTACTCTCAATCACAAGCAGGGCTTAACGTACCGCACTCGCGTGGGTTTCGGGTAGGTCCATCGATGATGCAACACCATGCAGGGCGCCAACAACAAGGACGATGTCAAGTCCAAGACCAAAGAAGACTCGAGCAAACACAGAGCTACGAGAAGAGCTTGTAACGTAAGTGCATTTCTTGCATCACGCAAAGTCGCAAATCACCATCTACATTCGCTCAAGGTGCCAATTTTCTCGCTCTAGTCATGTTGCAAAAGGAAGCTCCGATGCGATGGCCGAAAGCAGCAAGACGGTTCTTGTTCCCATTGGTACGTGACTGCAATACGCTGTTCGGGAGATATCAAAAGGTTCCAGCAAATCTCGTCCGATGCTGAGCTGACACGCGCCTTGAAACCTGCTCCTGGCTTGTATCGATCCAAAGCATCAGTCGAGGGATCGATTGTACTTTCGATAGCGGCATTCGACACCCGCCACTTCCTCTCAGTTTTGTCGAAGCACTTGAACAACGCATGGCCACCTTGGAACAGCTCATCGCCTCCTTGGCACCTGGAGTCGACTTCACAGATATCATCGGAGAGTCAATGACAAGATCTGACCAAGCCACCATGCAAAAGGACGCGGCTGACACTTTGCAGCCGCACACTATGCCTCCCGTCAACGATTCATCTTACGCCCACTATTCTGACCATGACGTTGCGCGTGCACGCTTAGCAAAAATGTTCGCGCCTTACCATGCCGAACCCTGCTATCGCAAGAAGGACAGCCAGGACGCAACCTACGACGAAGAAGCTGTCGACGACCTCAGTTTCATTCAAAGTAGACTTGAAAGTGTCGCTATTCACGACGAAGGCTCCCCTAAAAACAGCAGGCAGGAACCAGACGAAACCATCAGCACCGAACGAATCATCGTAGGAAAGACTGCTCAAGCCGATTCATCCCCCTTACGATCTCAATTCTACAAGTGTCTCGGGAGCTCTTGTCCACTTTCTGCTCTTCCACTCATCGCAGGTCTTAGCCATCGTAGTGAAGTCGAGATAGGCTCCCGACCTCACCGCGCTCGCCAGCAGTTCTGGCACTTTTCCGCCTCCCTCGACTCATCATCCAGCTATGGCTCGTTCGGCCCACCGGTTACCCCTTCATGGCCTGCACCCGACCTTGCAGATCAGATGGTGGAAGCGTATTTCAGCCACATACATCGTGTTCATCCCATCGTCAACGAAGCACACTTTCGCCACGAATACTCTCAACGGCACGAGTTGCGCAATGATGTAGAATGGCTTGTCCTTTGCTACAGCGTCTTTATGTTCGGCTCGCGCCATGTGGTAGCCACGGACGCTGAGGAACGCGATCGTGGGATCCGACGAAACTCTGATGGCAAGCATTGGTGGCAAGCAGTCCAAGACATTTTGTGCTGCACCCAACATCCTCGTAATCCCCTTCGTATCATCCAGGCCCTTCTGCTTTCCTCCGTCTTTCAAGCAGGCATCCCCATCTCTGCCTCCACATCTTGGTCTCTGCTGGGCACAGCGATATGCATGCTCCTCGACATGGGTGCTCATCGCAAAGTCTTCTACAAGAGGATCAAAATGTCCAGGCTGGACAAAGAGACATTCAGGCGTAATTTTTGGATCGCATACAGTCTGGATCGCGAAACGGCTGCATTGTTGGGCAGACCCGTGATGCTGCGCGACGAGGATATCAGTGTAGACCTTCCACTCGAAGTAAGTGACGCTCGTATCTTCTCGACGCCAGACCACGAGCCTCTCTCCAAGCAGTCAGACTGTCGACCTTCCTCCATCAGCGCTTTCGTGTGTGCACTTCGACTGGACGAGATCATTGGTTTCACGCTCAGGTCTGTCTATTCGCTCCACAGGACCAAGGTGCGCATGGGTTTCGCCGCAGAAGAATTCAGCAAAGAACTTGTCCAAGCCATCGACAAGGCGCTTGAAGACTGGTTTGCCTCCGTACCCACTCACCTCCGCTTCGACGCAAACGGGCCCGACAACGAAAGGCTGACTCAGTCCTGCTTGCTATATACCAAATTCTACAACTGCAAGATTCTGCTTCATCGTCCCTTTGTTTCAGGCCATTGCGGTGGCAGCTTGGGGACGAGTATCAACTTCTCTGCACTCAATGTGTGCACAGATGCTGCTCGAAGCATAACGCAGTTGACAAGGGCATGGCAAAATCGAGGGCTGCAGTCCAACATAAGCATCTTTGTGGTCTATCGCATGTTTTCTGCGAGCACGATCTTGCTCATTGTCATCTGGCACGCTAAGCGTACAGGACGCAAGGCTCCAAGTTGGGCGTCACAAGATCTGCGCCATGCAGTGGAGGTGTTTAGAAGCCTCGAGTCACAGTGGCAATTCTGCGGTAAGGCTGTCGACATGATCGAGTGGATCATAAACTTAGACTTATCAGGGGTGCCGACCGCAGGCAATGTCTGGACCAACGAAGAGTCAATCGACGACTATAACTTGCCACAATCGCAACCAGCCCAGCTCGCAGAAGCAGGCACAGTTCAAGTGCCTGCGTGGTCGCCGCAGAACGCGCCAGCCGAAATAAGCGACATGGCTCACCACCTCTCCTTCTGGCCATTCAGTGCTCAAGGCCTGCTTAGCACAACCTCCGAAGCGATGAGTGGACCAATGCTGTCGCTTGCGAATGGGCTGCCGCAGGATACGACCTTTGATTCAATGATTGGGGGTTTTCTTGATTCGATCGAAGCGTTCTTATCGACGAGTGGCAACTCGTACACCTCATCAGGGACGCTTGCCTTTCCAAACGCCCATGACTGCTTTCCATAATCTTTACGAATTTAGCGGCTGAATCACCACATCCCAAACAAGGTTCAAGAGATCGGGAAAGCATATGACCAACGCAATTGAACAGCGGCTTCATGACCACGATGTCTCTCAAGACCTCTATGCTCAGATTGATCCGCTTCACAGCTCATTCAGCCGGCTACTGAGTTAGGATGCAACAGGACTCCCAAGCACATCCATCATCCCACCTCAACAGCAAGATGAGTGGTCGACGAAACTCGGCTCGGACGCCTCATTGCCAGATCGCGGTCTTATGACGCTCGACGAAGCCAAGGCGATCAGACTCGAGCTCATGGACGAGCGCGCAAAGGGAGAGCAGGCGACGACAAGTGCGACGGAGGAATACAACTTTTGCGAGCATTGACAGGTGCTTTCGCCATCTCGGTTCTAGATTCTTGTCACTTCTTGATGACTGGCATGAACTCTTGATCGTTCAGCTGCTGCTGACAAGAGTGAAAATTGTTGCGTGAATGAGGAGGACCGAGTCGAGTGCGATGTCGGTTTTTCCACGCAGAACCAAAGATCTCCGTTCTTGTCCTTCTGCCTCTCTCGTGTGGAGCAATTCCGCTTACCAGAACGCGAACGCCTTGGCCTCACCCCTAGAAGCAGACGATCTGAAGTCTGCTCGTTCTGCCCGCGCAAGACATGGCACTTGGTCCCTGTTGTCGTTACAGACTTGAGCTGAGCCTCGATGATGGCCAAGTAGGAAAGCGGTCTAACATCCGGGACCTTGAGCGCGATCAATTCCCTGAGGTTCCTTGCGACACAGCCACAGCGGAGACACACTGACCTTGACTTGGCTCAAATGATTCCTCTGCTGTTGATAGCACTGGGAGGTAAAATTCACCTACGATGAGTCTGCCCTCGATCATCGACAGACTTGCTGCACGCATGACTCGTAGAAACGTATCTCCTCGGGACATTTGCGCAGTCATCCACAAGTCTCTTTGCAACAGACAAGCTGTCTGGGAACGATCCAGGTCAGACTCGACCGCGAGTCTTTGATTTCCGCGCAAAAGGTCGCATCGATTCGGTCCCTTCTGTCTCGAACCTCATGGAGAGCACGGTGATGTGGCCTCTGATTAGACAACGTCAAATCGGCAATACGATTCTTTGTCGTTGCTTGACATCCGCTTTTACTTCTAGGTCCTTTGTGGATTCAAAAGCATTAGCGATATATTGGTTGTTTATTTGCTTGTGAGTCGATCGAGGGAGTCATGCACAGACTCAGCGACATGGTAGTATAAAGCAGCTGCGCTTTTGGTTGGGTCGCTGACTGCGCCCATCAGGCCCATTCATACCTGGCAACCGGACTTTCGGCAGCATCGCTCAGCGGCTACACGATGCTTGCTTCGGCCTGCATAATGGACAGGCAGCTGCTGTACGGTGCCTCGTCCCAACAAGTTGCCAGTTATCTTTGAGAACTGCACACCAGCTACACGGAAGAGCGAATATCCAAGGCTATGCTGCGGGATATCGGCGATGAGGTGATTCCTGCAGACGTTTCACGCATTTGGCTCGATATGGCTACAAGTCCTGTGACGCTCGTCGACGCAATGCGACAAGATCGATCTACGAGATTGCGATGTAGCGCCATCAATCACTTAGGACGCTCACTTGCAGCAAAGGACTGGCAGAACGTCTGGGATACTCTGGATGCAGAGCAGGGAATAGTCAAGTCGCTCTCTCGATTCTCCCCTTACGAGGTCAGACATTTTACCAGGGCAATAGGTCGTAGCATCAGAGCATCCCAACCGAATCACGCCGCCAAGAGGACTGTTGTGAGCAAATTGTACCCCCATCTCAGACAGGTGGCAGGCTTTCCAGCAAAGGCATCACCAGACGACCAAATCGCCGCAGAGGTTAGGGTTTTGTGCATCGAAGCTATGAGCCCAAAAGAGCAAAGTCGAGTTGTCAGACAAGTATTTACTTCCCGCGGCTGCGTCTGTTGGGCTAAAGCGGTTGTACGCTCGGCGCTAATCCTCGAAGCTCGGTCGTCCCAAGTCGAGTCCGGTCGTTTGCCAAACTCGGTCCGCACTGAATGAAGAAATAGCTCATGCTGTCACTAGATCGATTACAGTGATGTGGAGCGCTGCTAGCTGAACAACAGCATCAAACTTCCATCAGGCAGAGCCGCGCATTTTGAAATGGACTAAGGGTAGAAATAGTTATTGTGCAAACGGACGTGTTTCGAAACAAGCCATGCCACGAAGCGCATGAGAGAAACGGGCGCATATCGTGGGTCGTACGAGTAGTAGACTCCCGCGCGCCCAAGACTGTTGACGACCAAGACGACTACCGACATGAGCGGCTACCGGAATGCACCAGCTGCGGTCCAACCCTCACATCAAGGCTTTGGGCTTGACAGAGTCAGTCGTATGCCTGCGATCGTCGGCAAAATACGAAGTCGAATACACGTTGACCATGAAGCTGCTAAAGGTGGATAGGGCCAAACCCCCAGCCGCGGCCGCGTACCAGGCAGAGCCGCTGTCGCTATCAAGAACCAGGCGATAAGTCTCAAATGACAGGTAAGCCCAGAGAGGAAGCGTGAAGAGGCCCAAGACAAACGTGTGCCAGTATATGCGACTGTTGTCGTCTGTGGCAGCTATCGCCAGAACGATGAATGCAGTATGCTGAGCGACCAGGGGTGGTACGGATGACCAAAACAACGGCACAGGACGCCACCATTGAGTGTCGGAGATCTGGGCGGCGAGAGAGGCAGTTCCGATCACGAATGAAGCAAGCACTCCAACGATCGTCGTAGTAGAAATGTGCTTGCGTGGAAGCTGCGGTCGTTCTTTGCGCGTGCGAATATAAAAGACGGCCGAGGAGAGTAGGACGCCAGGAGACAGGATGCCAACGGTCAAATTGATCAACTCCTTTGTTTCGGTCCAAACGTTGCCGAGAAGAGTCCAGCCGTAACGAAGCAGGGGAGCAGAGAACATGAGGGCGAAAGTAAGCGCCATCCAGTCTCGATGTCGTTCGATTCTACGCTGCCTGGCGGCCTGAAGGGCAAGGAAGCCGGTAAGGGTTAGGGTTAGGGTTAGGGTTAGGGTTAGGGTTAGGGTTAGGGTTAGGGTTAGGG